AGTGATAATTGTGTTCCATGATCCCTCCATTTTTCTTTCCTTTCTTTCCTTAGAGAAGGTACATCATACAGTTCATTGAAACTGTGAGGGTGCATTTAGCAGTAGAGCCTAGACATTTTTTTTTACCGTGAAATATATTATTTATTCAATTTCTACTTCTTTTCTACAGATAAGTTCCAGTCATTGTCTTCACTTCTATATGCATACTCTCCTTTTCTTCGCTGATTTTTCAACCTGTTCATGAAGTCCCAGTTTCCTTCTCATTTATATCAAGATATTTAAAACAGATCATTGTTATTCTGCTGTCATCTAGAAAACCAGCAACCAACGAGTTTAGTAAGAGATTATTTCCCAAAACCAACCACTCAACCACACCCTATTTCTCAATCCAAAACAAAAATATAGGTGCTCAAGGCGACATAAAGTACTTCTCCGACAACAATCATAAACAATTGAAACAAAGCAAATGTCCAAGAACTCTAGCTCCCATCAAAATCCCTCATCGCCGACAATAAAACCCAGTTCACCTCCTCAGGCCGGCTCACCAAACATAATCGCCCATAAATTTCCAAACTTTTGATCATCTCGCACGGTGCATTCATTTACAAGACCAATTAGGCCCATAGAATCCGTACTCACTCGCCCCTAGTGTCCTAATTGTGCCGAAGAACCGAGTCTCAGACAGTTTACACTCAATTTTGAAACTTTACGTGATTTTGCACCTAGCTCCAACTGTTAAACTTTCTGTGCCTTCCTTAATCGGCATCCACGGAGCACGGACAACAGATCAATGAACCGGAATCCAAACCGAAAGAAACTAGAGAGACGGAGCAACTAACCTGCTCGCTCGGAGAGCGAGAAGTGTCGACGTATGATTCAATGTGACGAGTCAGCTCACTGAGTTCCGCCATGAGCGAGTTAGAGAGGGAGGGAGAGAGAGAGCTCTAGGGTTTTAGCTGGAGAGAGAGAAACGGAGGGTGGGTTTATGACGTTTCAGGAAGCAAGGCGCTGGAGATGGCGACGCAAGAGCGCGCGGCAGCAGGTCCGTAAGAAGGTTCTATTTGCGTTTCGGTCCCTGTGGATTCGTGTATTTCTGCAATCCCCCCCGTTTTGTTATTTTTATAATTAGTTCTCGGATCGTGCCAGTATTTTCAGTTGCACCCTTGTTGGATTACCGGATTTGACGGATGAAATAAAATCGACCTTTAATATAAGTACTCTATACTTCTCAATGAGTATGGTCACTCCGGTCCGAGCGATTTCAACTCCAATGGTATAGCACAAAGCCTTTTTTAGCTACTCAAACATTGAGCGAAATACTATCCTTCGTCCCTTAATAGTCGAAGGAATAGTGATCCGCAACTCTTGTTTTTAGAAATTGTCTACAAAGTTATAAACTTATTATATGATGACGGACAATTCAATTATAAATGAATTGTGCCGATTAATCATAATTTTTTTATCGATTTACCAATTTAGTCCAACATCTTTTAACGAATTGCCAATATAGTCCTTTCAATTAATTTTAGCCTGAAATCGCTCCTGTGACGGTCCAGTCAGCGCCAGCCAAGCCGTCCTATGTGGTGTGGCCGATGTTGACATGGATAATTTTTAAAATTTTTTAAAAAATTTCTAATTTTTCCTTTTTTCCTTTCATTTTCTTTTTTTTCTATTTCTTTTTACATAGGGCCGACGATCCTCGCTATGGCCGACAAGGGCCTTGACCCTCGCCCCAATGACCGGTGGCCTCGGCAGCCCTTCAAAAGAAGAAAAAAAGAAAAGAAAATAACAGATAAAAATTAATAAAAAATTTAAAAATTTAAAAAAAAAATTGTAAAAATTATCCACGTCGTTGATTTCCAGATAAAATTAGTCGAAAAGACTACATTAGCAAATCATTAAAAGGTTTAAGATTAAAATGGCAAGTTGTAGAAAAGTTTATGACTAAATTAATATAACTTAAAGGTTTGTGACTGAACTGACCGCCGTACAATTGATTTATGACGTTTTGGACCATTTTCCCGTTATTTTCATGTTACATCGCAAGCTGAACTAAAGTTGTCTTCCATAATCCGATCAAAGACGGGTTATCCATAGCCTTGCCCCCCGAAGGCCACGTGAAGCTCACTCTCAAGGCCCGTGGCCCAACTCACAATTTTTTCACAGATTCGGCTCGAGCCCACTTAAGCCCCCACATGTATGTCAACCCGCGCCCTGTGGGCCTACGCGCGAACTCGGTGCATGACACCGGACCAATCGATACGCCAATCGTCCAATTGGGAAGGCCGTGATGGCTTAATTGTATTCAATTGCGCCATCATGGCCTGCTTTTGAATCCTCTAGCCTAGCCGTGTAAGCTATAGGGGGCGCATCGTGCGTTCACACGAGCCATTCCGGGCATAATGGCTTTTGTGCGTAGTGGCCACAAGGGCATATGGGCAAAATGTTCCATTTGATTGCCTTTTGCCTCCACAAACCAGGACATGATTATATCTGGATACCCATATTCTGTCAATCATGGCTTATAAAAGTTAGAGGTAAGCATCGATTGGTGTCGTGCCGAACTAAAGTCGAGTCGAATCGAATGGAACTAGTTTAGTTCGAGGACAAAGAGGTCGAAACCGAACCTAACTAAGTAAGGATTTGGGATTGAACCACAACAAATTAAATCACTCGATTCCGTTCGGTAGCAAAGCGACATTCTAATGACGAGAATTATAATCTATTCCAATACGGTGGATTAAAATTAATTATTATATCTGACGTGGCTTATAATTTCGACAAAAAAGTGCTATGAGTGTAGAACCAATTATTCATTGTTTATATAATTAAAGGACAAGATGGAGAGGTGAAAATTCAATGAAGTAATATGATCGGGTTAATTTTAAGACGGAGCATTTTTGAACCCAAATGAGATCATATGCTTCGATATGGGAAAATTATCCAAAAAGTCATAAATCTATTAAATAGCAGCCAATTCAGTCCTAAATCTTCAAATCATGTCAATTTAGTCTTAAATCTTTTGTTAATTGCTAATTTAGTCCTAAAACTTTCAACGATTTGTCGATCTACTTTTTCCGAATAATTTTGGCTGGAAATCGCTAACATGACAATCTAGTCAGCGTCAGGCATCCTACATGGCACGGTCAGCGCCGACATAGACAAGTTTTGCAAAATTTTTTTAATTTTATGAATTTTCTCTTCTTTATTTCCTTTTTTTCTTTTTCTTTTCTTTTTTGTTTTCTTTGTCACTTTTTCCCTCTATCGGCCTCGAGCGACAATTGCCCTCGCTTGGGCTGGCGAGGGCATCGAGTCCTTGCTGGTGACCAGCAAAGGAAAAGAAAAGGAAAAAAATAAAAAAAGAAGAAGAAAGAATTCATATAATCGAAAAAAATTACAAAAATTGTCCATATCAGTGCCGACTACGGCTAACACTAACTAGATTGCCACATTAGCAGTATCCGGCCAAAATTAGCCGAAAAGACTAAATTGGTAAATTGTCAAAATGTTTAGGACTAAATTGACATATTTAAAAGGCTTATGACTGAATTGGCCATCGGCCCGTCGTACAAAAGGTTTAAGACTTTTGGGACAATATTTCTATAATTATATAAATTTATCACTTACAAGATGAGCTTTAATTTAAAGAAATGCCACCTTTGAGGCGGTTTTTTCTTTCGAGTAATCTTGAAGATAGCTTTCTCGAAGCATCGAAGAAGAAGAACGATGTAGGCACTTCTTACATAGAAGAGATCTAGGGCCTCTCGTCTTTGAAATTTCACTTCGTTAATATGAAAAGTAGAGATAAATAGAACCAATTTTCTAATTATGAATTCTCTTCGTTTCAAGATAATAGATTGTGCTGGTTTTTGTTCTTGAAAATAACCCACTTTATCTGTAATCATCCAAACGTCGTTCTGACGTGAAAAAAACCGCTTTTTTTATGTTTTCAACATCAAAAAAAATGTTTATGTAAACGCAATGAAACGAGCTCTTAAAACGGCAGCTCACTGTTCATGGAATCTCATTATGATCTCCACGCTTCACCACCTTCAAATCGCGAGCTCTTCCAATTCGTCCATGACCCATAGTTTGGATAAGGATAAACCCAGGTTGCCAAGGCCAATAATCCTTCACTAGCGTGCCTAAGAAATCCCACTAAGTTAAAAGCACTCGTTATCTTTTTCATCTCACGTGTGCTGCTGAGTGACGTAAAGAGAGAAAGTGTGTTTTTCGATTTGGTTGATGTGAACTCGAGTTAATCCATAATCATAACTGACAAAGCCAAAATATAAAGATAAATACATCACAAGTCTTAAAGCTTATCACGAAAATACAAACGAGTTATAGAACTTTCAAAAAGTGCAATCAAATCCTAAAACTCGTTGCAAAAGTGCAATCGAGTCCTGAAATATTAAGAAAATGCAATAAAGTCCCAAAATTTTATCGCGAAAGTACAATCTGAGTCCCGAAATTTCTAAAAAGTATAATTAATGGAAGGATTTTTTTTAAATGGAAGGACTCGATTGCATCAATTTAACAAGTTATAGAACTTGATTGGACTCGATTGTACTTTTTGAATGCTTCAGGACTCGGTTCCACTTTCGTAACAGGTTTTGATATTTGATTATACTTTTTGAAAGTTTTAGGACTCCATTACACTTTCGTGACAAGTTATAAGACCCTCAATATAATTATTTCCGAAATACATATGGCCACGAGTCATTGGACTCGTGACTGGAATACAAGGTACTTCAGGGACATTGATCTAATCTCAGTGCATGAACGACGGTAACATCAAACATGCTACGAGACGAAATGTTCATGGATCACGTCTCCTTTAGTACTTTTTACATGATTTGCGCATAGACCAGACATGGGCCCGCGCGTTGCACGCATGCTAGTGAAATGTTTTGCTGAACTGAACAGTATGTTTGGGGAGCCCCCGCTTGCGTGCGTTTTGCTCTTGTTCTAAAGTTCCTGTTTTAGGGGGTCCTTGGTTTAAGGGACTCTCTTTCTCTCTCTCTCCCTGTCTCTGTCTCTCTGGTTTTCTCCATAATCATCCTCCTCCTTCCCGGGTCATTGTCCTACAAAAACTCAGCAAAGCGGGCAGAAAGAAGGGGAAAGCGTGCCAGCACTACAAAGAAAAGCTTGATATCATTCCATTCCACCCTCCTCTCTCTCCCTCTCTCTTCCCCTGCTTTTTTACCTTCTTGCTCTCGTGATACTTTCTTCTCTTGGGAAGGTTTATGCCGGTCACAATTTTTAGTCGTTCAGGTTTCGAGTCCTGCGTTGTTTGGCTCTCTGTCTCTTCGAAGAAGTGGGTGCTCCTAAGTTGTGCTTCTTGTGGCTCTTTCAAGTTTCAATCTCACACCTTTCCCTTGGTTTCCAACCATCTGAGCATCTCCATCTTGTCCATCTTCATGCAAGGCTTGGTAGTCTGGTCCAACACTCGGAGGCTTTAAGGGAAGCTACTGATGGTCTCTCGGACTGTTCACCGTACCTGTGCCTATTTCTGTTCTTTTAAACAGATCTATTAAAATTTCTATCTGGGTGCAGAATTTGAAGTAAAAGGCTGTTTCTTTCTGTCCACTCCCAACTGGTAAAACTCAAAACACTACACGCATGGAGCGAGTTTCAAGAAATGGGGAGGCTACTCAGCTGCTAGATTTCGTAGCAAAGGAGAGAGAGTGGCTCATGAAGAGATTTCAAGAGCAAAGCCATGGCACTCCTCCTCCAGAGGACAAGGCGCTGGAGCTCAAGCTCGGCCCGCCTGGTGATGAAGACCAGTCCAACAAAGACTTCACCATGAACTACAAATTAGAAAAGGACGAGTCTCTTCTCTCTCTTGGCTACTTCAACGGTGGAAATCAAGCTCAAGCACAGAACTTTGCTCCATATCTCCAGTTCTCACCCTCCACCTCTCAGACCCAATTGCCTGTTTTGGCAAAGGATATATCTTCTGACACGGTGGACTTGCAGAACAATAATGATGCAGAGAAAAAGAAAGCATTTTCGCCAGCTTCTGCTGCTGCAATTACAGCTGTGCCCAACAGCTCTCAGAAAAGGTACACACGACACACATCAGTTTTCTTTTTCCCCCCTGTCCCTCTTGCCAATTGTCTCCATCGGCCGAGCATATTCACTCACAGGACAGTGAGTTTTTATTCTATTTGTGTATGCTTTAAATAAGAAAAAAAAAACAGAAAAATCACGGATTAGCGACAATACTCATGACATTATGGGAAGTTAATTTTTCTACCTATTGTAGATCTACATGTTGTGGTCCATGGCTCAAGTGTACTGGCTTCAGTACTTCATGTTTGCAAAGTGTCTAAAGAAATACGTTTGCCTCTATGCAAATGTCAACTAATTTATATTTTTGCATTTTGGAATTTTGTTCCATTACCTGGATGGCGATGCTTTAATGTTGTATCTTTCTGCCCATTAATGCTGGCGTTTAGCTTGTTGTGGCAATAAAGATTTTTATTTCTCGTGCTTGTATATATCCTCTTCCGAAGGAAGTTTTGCCCTTTCTTTAATGACTTTGTGTATGAGTTTTCGTACTTTCCTGCCTTTTCCCTTTTGTCCCGGGGCTTTTGGGCCTATTGTATGGTTGATTTATCATTAGGACTAGTCATCAGAGAGGAGAATAAACATTTTAATGATCTGAAAAATTACTTGATCACGAGGACAGTCGTCGTCTGAAGTGTTCACAACGGTATTATGGAAAAATTCCATTCTATTGGCTGAATGTATTGATGTTGGATGACGGATATGCTTTCTTTTTCTTTGGTATCGCGACAAGATAATACCTCGATCATTAGTACTTTGCTGGTTCAGCTTCGTCTAGTATTGTCTAGTCTCTGGATGCATTTTCATAGTCCTACTTATGCAATTTAATGCCCTCGTGAATGTTCCTAATAGGACTGCTCCAGCTCCAGTTGTTGGGTGGCCGCCACTGCGATCGTTCAGGAAAAATCTCGCTATCGGCGACAGCCATGGAAATCCAGCCCCCAAGACTCATCACAACGCGGTCTCGAGCAAAATAGTCAGTGAAAAGCCTGCTGAAAGAAGTGGAAAAGGCTTGTTCGTGAAGATTTACATGGACGGTGTCCCCATTGGCAGGAAAGTGGATCTCAATGCCTATGACAGTTACCTAAAACTGTCTGCTGCTGTCGATGAACTCTTCCGAGGCCTTCTTGCAGGTTAAACATTTTTGTAAATAAATAACTATGTATTGTTCGCACTTGTGTTGTGGGAAGGCACAGATTTTAATTCTTGCAGCTAAAAGTAATTGAGTATTGAGATTTGGTCGCATCACCTCCCTATGTCTAAGTGTCATCAGTGTCAGTTCTCTATAGTAAGTTTTCACAAAGTAATTAACGAGTCAATCTAGTGATTTTCTAATCCCTTTGTAGTCATGATGAGTTCAGGGTTTTACTTTTGCGAAACTATCAAGTGTTCCTGGACTATATTCCCTCCTCTTACACAAGAGTACCCCACCCATACGTGTAATCATTATATATTGAAGCATTAAGAACCGAGAATGCGAGGAAAGATTCTTTAATCTGCAGTTTAATTCAAGAATTCTTATCAATCTCTTTGTGATTATTTCCAACACCATCTGTCATTATACTGAGGCTCAACTTGTACTGTACTTTGCTCATGTCATGTTTTTGTCCTTCTCTTCTCTGTTCAGCGCAAAGAGATTCCTCTGGCTGTGGAATCAAGAACACGCAAGAGGAAGAGAAGCCTATTACAGGTTTACTTGACGGAAGAGGGGAATATACTCTTGTTTATGAGGACTACGAAGGAGACAGGATGCTTGTTGGCGATGTTCCTTGGCAGTAAGCATCTTCCCACTCTGGATCTGATGCATTTACAAAATATGTACTTCTGTTTAATATTTGTGCACTCGGTGATTGAGCCTTTGTTTAATGGTATCATGTTTCTTAGTTGTCCTGAGAACAGCATCAGATTCTTAATCTGGTGTCATTTTGTGTTATTTTAGTACGTGTACTGTCTTGGCCAGTGCAATTTGTGGGACTCAATGCAGTGTGGCATGTTTGCTTGGAGCGAGAATGAAACACGAATATTCCATGCCAACACTGATTTCCAAGAACAAATTCATTTCTGGATGTCACTGTGAAGACACTGAATTTTGATGTTTTGCCTCTGTGTTGTGATCTAATGTTTCATCATGTGAATTACAGTATGTTCATATCGACCGTGAAGAGACTGCGTGTTTTCAAGAGCTCTGAGATTTCTGTGCTAAGTGGTAAGTTTATGTGTGTTTCTTCGATCTAAAACTTTGGTCGTGCATAATTTATTCTTGATGCTTCGACAATGGTAAAAAATCTGAAGCTGTGCAAAATGTCCTTGCAGCCGGTGGACAGAAGCAAGACAAGACATTGTCGGATTCTGCCATGCGATGAGCAGACTCTTGAGAGGGATTTTCGCATGAAGGAGGGATTCAGTTCGGATTCGCACTCAATATTGAAATGCATATAACGATTGATAGAGTATCAATATCCTTATCTTATCTTACCGCTTGTAAGTTCACACTTTTTGTGAGGACAGATTCAATTGTGTCCAAACACTTCTCGTATTACTCGGCCTCATGTAAGAAATGCATTTTTCCAGAGCCGCGAAATCGGGTCACACGCCCAAGGCGAGTAGATCTTTTTTTTCCTTTTCTGGAGTTGCTGCTGTGTTGGTTATGTAAGGAAGAACACGGGTTTCTCTATGGAAGGCCTAATGATGTTCTTAAGAGATTCTACAATTTTTCAACTGGACAAAAGACTGTCAAAGTATGTGCTTGAGGGATTAGTCATGAAGAAACTGCGGACGGTTCACCCACTGAACTCCAAATGATAGGTAGAAGGCTAAGGAGGGTCCACATCCAACTGTCTTCTGGGGTTAGATAACTGTCATGTACCTGAGTCAAAGGCTTTTCCTCCAATTGGTTTTTGACTTGGACAAGAATCATCAGATCCGGTTCTGCACGGGATGCATTGGATTAGACAGTTTCGTATGTCACTCGTGGGTCAAAAATCAGGTGAAAGGGTCGACTACCAGTCCAAGTTCCATGTTCATATTCCTCACTTAGGTCGGTTAGGTGGTGAGTGTGAGACCCAATAGCCAAATCTGTCTATGTTGCCACCCTCCCACTGAATTTTTCTTTCTGTTTTTCATCCTCAAAAGGATGGGAGAGCAGAGAAAATCTAAGCGTCCTCACACGAGTTTCGTACCTGTTACAAAATGTTTAGCTGATTTGTCAGAATACGTGGGCTAAGTACCACATTGACTCCAATATTCATATTAGAAGTACGTTTTCGTAATCAACTCTGGGGTGGTATGCAAGTTCCAAGGACATATCTTTGTAGATTAGAGTATTAGTTCATGTTCCGTGATTTGTCTTTTTCATTTGTAATGCGTGCACACGCCCTAAAACATGGTAAACTTAAGTCCGCTAGCTAGACTAGGCGTGATTACAGATTTACCAAAGCACTCGTCACATGAGGGAAAATTATCCAAAAAGTGTTAAACTTATTGCATTTTGGCTAATTCAGTTCTAAATTTTTTAATTTTGCCAATTGAATTCTAGATATTTTCATGTTTTGCCAATTGAGTTCATCCGGCCAATTTTAATCAAAAATCGCTGATATAGACACCGGTAGTGGTATATAGGATGGTCGGCACTGACGTGGATAATTTTTTATTTCTTTCTTTTCTTTTCTTTCTTTTTCTTTTTTGTTCTACTAAATCTGGCGAGAGCTAGCTGACCCTCACCAACCACAAGCGAGGGCCAACGACCCTCGTCGGCCACTAGAAGCCCTCACCGGTAGCGGGAGAGGGTCGTGGCCGTCGCCCGCGGCCAATAAGGGTCGGCTGACAACCCTCGCTGGGCTTGGAAGAAAGAAAAAAGAAATAAGAAGAAATAATATAAAAATTATAAAAATTGTATACATTAGCGTCAGCCATGTCACGTAAGACGGCTAGCATTCACTTCAGTAATTTCAGGCTAAAATTGATCGAATGGACTTAATTGGCAAAACGTGAAAAAGTTTATAACTCAATTGATAAAATTGAAATGTTTATAATTAAATTGGTCAAAATGCAATAGGTTTAACACTTTTTTAACAATTTTCCACATCATATGGAGACAATCATTTCATTTATAGACTTTGAGTCCCTTTGTTGGAAGGAAAACTATTTCCCGAAAATTATTTTCCGATTTTTCGGCATTGGGATGATAGAAAATTAATCGATTTACGGAAAAAAAATTTCATGAACTTCATAACAAGTTTAAATTTGGGGAAAACGACTTCCTCTTCCAGCAAGAAAGAATCACTCTCCCTAAATCACTTAACAAATAAAAACTAATCATTTTCCATCGAGCGCGCATTGCTATACCACAATGCCCACCTGCCTAGAAACCTCGTTGGTCACCATATTTGAAATATTCACCAAACACCGATACATATTGAAAGTGGGCCACCAATCAACTATCAGTTCTCATATCAATTTGTTGGGAGAGCAAAGCAGAAGTCTAATACCTTTGGCTAGGGAGATTGCCAAGAGAGAGTCGAAGTTTGAACTTATTAATAATTGGATCCATCTTCACTCAAAAGTTTAAGCTAATAAGTAATTGATCAACTAGAATATATTAACTGCTTTAGACCACACTAATTGTCCGACGTGAGACTTTCAAACACTACTCACACGTCCTCTCTTCTCTACATGACAAACTCACATCATACAACTTCGTGAATTTGGGTAACTTCTCGGAGCATCCATGTTCCTCAGTCGTACACACCTAAATAGATTGGGACTGGCATGAGCATGAGGAGTCGAACTACTCTCCCTGGGGTCGAAGTCGAACAATCCATTCATCCATCACCATCACCCTCTCGCGACCGTGATAGGTGATTTTCATTATCCTAATCAAGTAATCGCGGGATGACACACGATGGCACAACAAGCCTGGCGCCAACTTCGGAAGAGGAGTCGACTCGTACGATGGGCGAGGCCGGGATGTATAATTGCAGGAAAGTTGTTGGGTTCTTGAGAGTCAATACGCGCATGAACGAAGGGTCGTTTCCGATGAAAGAAGCGTATGCCTAACAAGGGGGAACAGAGCAAAGAATTCTGTCTCGGAAAGTAAGCCAAGCGTGCGTTTGGTTTCCCCCATGTGTGCTTGGTTTAGCCCAAATTTCTGTCCAACCTCGAACCAAAGACTCTCCTCGTTTTGGTCTGGTTGCTTTCAAAGAGGAATTGCGGCTAAACATATGGACTAGCCGGGTACGCCATTCTAGCCACTTGACCAGGTATTTGAAACCCCCGTTTGAGATTCACTATCCAACCATATAGTCTAGCAAGAAAAAGGGTATATATGGAGTGCAACTAGGGTCCAATTGAGTTAAATGGATTCTGATGTAACATGGTAGCCAAACTCCATCTCATTTTTTCTCAATCGGAAATCGAGTTCGATGCGATCCTGAAAATATGAGCCTTTTTTCCTTCCTAACGAATAGACCAGGGAGGGGCAATGGGCATGGCTGCTTTATAGATGCGTGTAGTGAAAATGACATACTTGTTATGGAATGTTTGGATCCGAGACTACAGAGAAAAGGTCCTTCATGACGACTCACAACTTTGTATTCAAACGGGGCGATGTCACCGTAATCGTGCCATCAAGACGTTAGAGGTTCAGAAATTATTCATGAAAGCGAAAAACACTGCACTATTATGGCAACCGGGTTTGAAGTCGTGACTTACTTGGTATATTAGTCCGTATCATCGTACCGTCACCCGAGCGATGAGAAAGGATGACGAAAAAAGGAAAGATATGTTGCACCATTGGAGCTCCCCATAAGCTTGTGTTTGAACTCGTTCATCTATTATAGATCAAAAGGGAAGGGCCTCTAGTAAAAATAGCTCGATTTCTACTTGGTACGTGAAGCCAACAGATGTATCAAAATAGATGGGCCAAGCCCAAGAGAACATCTGTATAACTCTTATGTTTGAATGCCTACTTACCAAGTTATACCAATTTGTCAATCAGTGTATCCCTTCCCTTGCTCTGTGAGAATTCCTTTGACCGAAGAATGGGAGAGACAACTAGCCCCAACTAGAGAGGCAGAACTAGGACCTGCCTTGGGCTGAGGAAGTAACGTCGAAATACGAAAATCGAATGGGAATTTTGTTTGTGTAGATATCCTAAAATTGATTTTGCAAATTAATTTATTAAGTGATGCATTGGACTGTGAGCGACTTTTTAAACAAGTGAACCGTATTTAACAACCAATAATAGTTTGACATATCGGTTTGCAAATCTTGTAGATTGGTCTTAATAAGTCTAGCATGGGATGTTTACACCATTTCATCTCATACCGTTACAAGTCCTTTATATGAATGAAATCCTCATCACATATGAAAGGAAGGTGGTATATGTCAAATATACCCAATGATCTCCATTGCACGACGAGTCGGTGTACGTGCTTATGTTCCGAATTAAGAGATCAGGGAATCATATTTCAAATTCAAATTTCAATACTTAATTGAGTTCCGATCTCTAGAAGGGTTCAACATTAGTTAAGAATTGTACATATCGTTTGTATATATGCCATAACCAGTCGATTGGACATTGAAAAACCATAGAAATATAACTATCATCGATGCCGATAATATATGCAGATAAAGAATCATCGGCTAAACAACCTATTCAAACATAAATAACTTGGTGAATGAAACCTACCATCTTGTAGAAAACAAGCAGAAAACATGTTTTTCCATGAAGCTCAATGCCCAGGATTCTGTCGATCTCCTCGGTCTAATATAATCATTAGCCAAATAGTTTCTCTCTTTTGAGCATATAGCTTACTGGTGATTCTTGAGGAATCAAAACGGCGGAAAACAGAGCAAAGGACAACAAAAAAAGGTCTAGGATCTTTGCTTTTGTGCCCTTCACATTGAATTTCTTCTTAAGTCATCAATATAGGAATTGAGAGTGCGCAAACTTGACAAAGTGAAATGGAGACACAATCATTTGAAGAACCTTCCCATGCCTCATATCACTTCATTTCTATTTCCTTTCAATATTTAGCTGAAGAAATCAAAATAAGAGAGTGGACTTAGGTAGGGTTTTAAAAAAAAGAAAGAAATGAGATGGTGCATGCAAATCATCCCTTTTAATTTGATAAATATATTCATTAAGGTAAGAACAAACGCGCAACGTGTTGACTTATTGATCACTTAAGGAGAGCGACAAGCTACGCGCTTTGGCATTGTTAGGGAGTATCAAAAGAGGTTCTACGTTGAATCAATTTCCTTTATTGTTTTCTTATCGTGCGCATATTTTGGGTTCGCAAGGTCCAAAAACTTGTGATTCTTTTCTTTATGTATGAGGGATGAAGGGTAAGAATTAATACCTTATAGTTGAAGAAGAAGGATATATTAGACACAAGAAATTCCTCTTATCACATTCTTCAAGATTGTCATTGAGCAGTAATTCCCTAAGGGAAGTTGAGAAACAAACGTATGCTGAAAATGAAAGGGAATGACAACTTGTTCCAACAATTGTCTGGTTTAGTTTGATGATCATCAGATATATAGAAACTGAGGACTGTCCCTTTTTTCATGCGAACATCATCTGAAGAGGAGGAGGTTGCACAGAAGAAAAACACTCCATTGAGAGAAAATTTAAGAGCAACGAATTAAAGAAACAAAAAGCATATGTTCCTACATATCTGAATTCACTTCACACCAGTGCCTAACCCTAAACAAAGGATAATCGCAACATACAAGGACCTTCTTCAAGAAACCTGAAAAATAAGGAAAGACGAGAAAAGGCCGCGAAGAACCTGAAGAGCCACATCAGAAACAGCGACAACTAATGAACGAATTAATCGAAGAGGGAAGGGGAAAGAAAGAGCAGGAAAAGAAACCTCAGGATGAGACGCTGAGATGAGACTACTGCACGTGTGATATCCATTGATCACATGCATTGCTGAATCTTGAATAAGCTTGTAGAACGAACACGGTCATGCAAAATATATTCTTTTCAGGTAATATCTGATAAGTAAATCTGCTCTGCCTGGCTTAATCCTGTGTGCCACGTCCATGGGTGTTACCCTCTATGTTATGATCATTGGTGGAAGAAGGCACAGCCGACCAAGCGATCTACCACCGCATACTCCGCCTCCACCGCATGCGGCGTCCGTTCTTGGGAAGCATGATCCATCACCATGATGGATGTCAGCCATTTTGTGTGCTCTGTGTGTGTGTGGGGGAGAGAGAGAGAGAGAGAGAGATTATTGTTCTGGCTTGCTCTCCTTATAAGTGGAAAAAGGAAGGTACTATGCTATTTTCTTTTCTTCTCCCATTTGTACGATCACTATATCTAGATGCCCCATGCATTAGAAATCACATAAAATTCAAACAAGTATTCATTGATGAACTAAAGTCCGCACATGCATGTCGTTAGGTAATCGATTCGAGCGAAAAAATTAATCAAAAATTTCATCGACAAGGTGAGTATCAATACACATAATAGCTGCAATTAGATAGGTAATTCGTTGTAAACATGTTCGCTTCTAGCAACTTAAAAGACAAACTTTTTCCCCGGGCGAGTCAAACGAGTCGCCCACTTTTGACTCGGCCCAATCAAAGTGTTTGTAGGCCTAGTATTCGTATTCAACTCTGCATATGATATCTACAGCCCCAACAGCAAGTGGAGGTGATAAGGACGCATCGTAAAATGTTCGGAAAAGGTTTCAATGGCGAATTCATTCTGGGTTGGACTAACTCCTGATGGGAGAACAAGAAGGCAACAAAGTCGGGGGGCACTTCCATCTCTTCTTTTTCTTATTGGAGAGCACTTTCTTCTTTGGTCAAGAAATGATCAATATGTCATGCCTTTATTCCTTTGCACGTAGACTTTTCTGTGCAATGGCTCAATGCATATACAAGATAAAGGGCACGATGATAAAATTAAAGAAAAAAAATTCTTATTTTTGAAATCTTCGATTTGAATATGTCTATGTTCACAAGGGATACTCACAATGGAATATATCTCTAGTGTCTCATATGATTACTGTGCTAATTAGTTCATTAAGCCATCCCATTACAGGTTGTCGTAATCCTATGAGGACCAAGTTTTGTGCAGTGGCACCAAACATCATGCACCGTGTATCCCATCCAAATTCCAAAGTTAGATGAACAAAAGTACTGATGCTTAGGTAAAAACCGAGCTTACCACATATATCGTGTTCTTCGTTTCATCAAGTGCCGACCGATTTCTTATTTAGATCACTCACTCGGGCGTTTGCGCGAGTAATTACCCGATTCGTAAGATTAACCGGGGTTGCATAAGCTCATACTGATTATCTACATAACTCTTCAGGTCCGGTTCCACGTCCCAGAGAAAGTTCATTCGATTCAAAACAATTCGAAAGAGAAAAAGTTCTGATGGGTCGATAGGAATTTGGAATCTGACCAGCTTTCAAAGTAATCATCGCTTTGTGCCGAGTTGGGCTTTGGACCTACCATGGACTAAAAATTAAGCCTATGAAATTTATGGACCGGTTCCAAGACAATCATGTCCGAGATTACTTCTATCGCTGTCATAGGATAGGCCTCCGCATGACTAGCAATAAAGAAATAGGCTCTTTGTTTTCTTATGGAGACATAGATGGATTGGACGATTCCATGCTTGCCCATTCAATGTGAATACTGCAACAGATGGATCAATAACCTCAGAAGTTTCTCTGTACGGAAGCCTCACAATTGGGTGCCCTAAAAAGTTGCCCAATTTAGCTGTTAAACTATGGTTTGATCTTAATTGGGTCTATTTTACTAGAGACCTAACTTTCTTTTTCTAAAAATAAAGGACAATGATCAACAGGGGCCATGCTTTTTCCACTCCATCTTTGGCTTATTGGCTTATACACAATGTTCGGGGAGTGTACAAGCCAGAGAGGGATGGAAAAAGCGCGGCTCTAATTACTTTCCCTTTTTTTAGTTGCTTTAATCGCTCATAAATTAGCTCTGCCTACTTAGCCACAGAAAAAAAAAAACAAGAAAGAGGAAAGAAAGCATCACTGCTAGAATTACAAGCCAGACTATTGAAAATTTGTTGTTTGAAGTAGAATCTGAATTTGTCATAGGGTTTAGGTGTTCTACTAGGGTCAACACGCAAATTGAATTGAAGAACCTCAACAATCCTAAGCTATGGCTACTTTTCTTTTGGTTTTTTCCGTTCAAGCATAATTAAGCTTCTAGCTAGTAGCTAAGTTGAAATGAGGAGCTTTAGGCCTGCTCTGTGCTGGGCCTGGTGAGTAATCAAAGTCCAATCATTTTTGCAACACCGGGTCTAGGTCTCGCACGGTTCAACCGCTTGTAATACTTCAACGGGTACTCATGAGTGATGTTTCAAAATTCAAAACCACAACCCATAATTTCGATTTGAAAACTTTAAGTCGAAATCAAACCAATGAAACGGAGACTAACTGGAACAAATTGATGATCTTAATTCACCCACTTTGATCTTTCCTAGGCACTTGGATTGACCTGATATTTAAATCCGTCCCGCTTTATTATCACACACAAATCTCGTAGAAAGCAATTTCTCAGTACTCCGCATACGCAACTTCAGCCTTACCATTTTCAAACGGCGTAGCGATCATAGTCAAGTGAATTCGTCACGGAAATGCCATTGATGTTTGATATAGCATGTTAGGGAAATAAAAGACAGAGATATTGTTAAACAAACAACGCTCATGAGTCAAAACTATGAGCACAGAAGTGAGATCATGATAATCTACGAGGGGTTTCCGGTTTTGTCAATGTTTTAAGTATGTTAATCTAACATTAAACTTGACAATATGACCACGAGTTTTATGATGATATGCTCATTCTATTACGAGATCCTCACCTGCGAGGAAGCACGTTCGTTTCTATTATCTCGTCCAAGACAAATTCATTTGCGTTATTACTGCATCAGATTGCACTATCCTCCACGAGAATTGTCTCATCTTCGTTTCATATAGCTTCTTCCAAATATGTTAGTCAACTACGTGAGAGATTGAAGAGCAATGATGTATAGAAAGGCCAGGTTCTTAGTATTGACATTTAAGTCGAGGAGTGATTAATTGACAATTCTTGCAGTCTACATCAGCTAATTGGTCACCCATCGACTTTGAGGGTAGTTTGAGACCACCTGGTAATATTTTCATAGAGAAAGAGTTAGACAAAGATGATGTATAGCAAATTGCATGTTGCATATCATGTTCTTCTAGTACCAATCTTCTGCTACCTTCATCACGAGCTACTTTCTATCTCTGTAAAATAAACAAATGTTTTCATACCCAAATCACCTTCAGCCTGTTTTCTCGCGACTTAACTCTTTACTTATCAAAGCATCAAGATTTTCTCATATATACATGACAAACTACAGAAATATATCATCTCCTAAAATTTAATTATTTCAAGATTCCCATATACTCGAAATCAGTTCCTCAGTAAAACAAGGACCCTAAGATTGACATTTTGTGATTGGAAGAGAAAGGGCAGCTGTCTCCCATCTCACAGAACCGGTCGATTAGATCCATATACCAAAGGATGACAACAATGCAGATTCTTGATTTTAAGCTAAGGATACTTTCAAAAGGATCTGCAATATTTTCACTTTATGTTATACATATCTTTTTGAATTAATTTTTCCTCTCCAGGAGTACTTTTCCACGTTATGTAGTTGAAGCTCTAAGTACGTGGGTCCATCTCAAATGGGTTCACCCTCCAATTTCTCTAAGATTCCCCTGTCTGATCTGTCATCACCAGCATCCCATTATCAGCCACGGGTGCTTCATAATGTCTTGAAAATGAAATCGAACTCCTTTGCTGTCACACCCATTCACGTTTTTTAAAACCTTACAAAAACAGTTCCACACAATAATAGCTTTACACAGACTAAAATAATGTCACAAACAACTGTCGATTCCTCATCTATTCATATCTCACCCGTCACCCTCATCACAACTAATTACCAACTAATCCTTTTTTCCCATCCTCAAGTAACGGAGAGAGTACAGATTGGGGGGGGGGGGGGGGGGGGGATTTGGGACCCCAGGACATTAAATGTGGGTGGGGGTGGTAAAGAAAATAACGTCTTGTATCTTCCCAAATTGGGGAATGGGACTGATGATATTTTTCTTTTGCCACAGAAGGTGGAAGAAGCTCCTGACTCAGATTTTCTCTCTTTGGCAGAGAAATCATACTGAGCCAGCGAATCGTGGAGCAGTAGGATTAGGTAAAGATAAAGAAAGAAGAGAAAATGGGGTCGAAAGATACGGAGGCTGAAAGATTTCCTCCAAAACCCCCCCCATCAGAGGAAAGGAGGCCCTTTTGCTTTTGACTCTTGATTTTAGGGGGACCAAGAGCATCCTTAAAAAAAAGGAAGCCCTTTTCCTTGTTGGCCTTGCACGAATCACCTTTCACACGCACAGAGACAGAGACAGAGAGAGAGAGAGAGAGAGAGATTTAAAAAGGGTTGAGTGGACTTGCGCTTGGGGTTTAAGGTTAGCGAGAGAGAGAGGCAGATAGCTTTTTGTTCATGAAAATTGGAAATTGCCGAAGGAATTGGGAGCGAGTATCTGTGTTGTGGCACGTACACGTTGTTCCAGAAAGAGAGAGAGAGAGAGAGAATATTTCAGAAGTGAGCAAAGTGGCCATCTCTTACCGTGGGTGGCTTAGGCATATATGGCAGCTCAAGCTCGGAGCTTTTTTTGAATTTGAGAAAGCACTTAACTTGGGGTAACTCTCTCTCTCTCTCTCTCTCTATCTGAGGATACAATTATAACGCCTTTTCACACAAAGACCTTTTACTCGCCTTTTCATTCTTTGGCTCTAAACCCTTGTTTGAACACTTTGATCGAGAGCTTAGTGGATTTCCTTTTCTTTTTCTACTTGTGATTTGCTCTTTTGAACGGCTGATAAAAATGTTTCTTTAATGGGTGTTGAGCCCCTGTGTCTTTCTGTGACATCTTTTGTCTTGTAATGCAGTTCTTCACGAGGTTGTGTCAGAATCCTCCCTTTTCAAACAAACAAAAACTATTCCCTCCCTCTTCCTCTCTCTCTCTCTCTCTCTCTCTCTCTCTCTATGTTCTTTACTTTTCAAAATGGAAAAAGAAAACGAAATGATTGTTTGAAGAAGAAATCTTGATTCCCATTTTTTAATGATTTGCTCCACTCTGCTTCGTCTCTCTCTCCTCGCTCACTTCTCCTCTCGCAACTTGTCCAACGTTTCTCAAACTCTCAACCCTGTGCGACCCCAACCGTCTCTCTCTCTATCTCTGTCGACCCTTTGAGTTCTTCTCTTTTCTTGCACCGACCCACATTTCAAAATCGTTCCTTTCCCCACGTTCCCTCCACTTCTCTTCTTCCCTCTGAATTATCTCAAGAACCGTTTCTTCTTCACATGTTGTGATTATCTCGCCTGTTCTTGCTGCTTCGAGCTCGACCCAGTTCGGTTTCTTGCTTGAAGAGAAAATGGGGAGAGCCGCGAGGTGGTTCAAGGGCTTGCTCGGGATGAAGAGAGACAAGGACCAGAGCAACCACAGCACTTCGAGCTCGGTCTCCGGCGACGGCAAGAAGGACAAGAGGAGGTGGAGCATCGGCCGGTCCGCCAGGGATCCCGATAAGGTCCCTGCGGCGGCGGACGCCAGCGTGACTGGCGCCGCCGGAGACGCCGCGTGGCTCAGGTCGTTCATCGCGGAGTCGGAGAAGGAGCAGAACAAGCACGCGATAGCCGTCGCGGCGGCGACCGCGGCGGCGGCCGACGCGGCGGTAGCGGCAGCGCAGGCGGCGGTGGCGGTGGTGAGGCTGACGAGCCAGGGCAGGGGAGCTCTGTTCGGGGGCGGGAGGGAGAAATGGGCCTCCGTCAAGATTCAGACCGTCTTTCGCGGCTACTTGGTAAGCACAAGAATTGCTACCTAGTGGTACGAAATTGACATGACATGAAGATAGTGATTAGTTTAAATTCGTATTGTTTAATCTGACGTGAATTGACAGAAATCTTTGGACTTCTCGTGAGAAATAGTTTATTCATTGTACTTTATCAAGACTTGACTATGTTTGAATAAGTCTTAATCGTTTGAATTTGTGTGCTTCTCTGTTATACGTTCTCGATGTGTTTGATGATTTGTTTCTGAGAGAGTGTGACGTGATGATCTTGCTCTAATTGGTTTAGGCCCGAAAAGCTCTGCGAGCATTGAAGGGACTGGTGAAGTTACAGGCGCTTGTGAGAGGTTATCTGGTGAGGAAGAGAGCCGCTGCAACTTTGCATAGCATGCAAGCTCTCATAAGAGCTCAGGCTAATGTGAGGTCTCAGCGAGCTCGCCGTTCCGTCAACAAAGAGAACCGGTCCCATTTCGAAAACCGCCCTAGAAGATCCATTGTAAGACGCCGGTCTAGTTCTTCAAATTGCTTTAAACAATATCCGTTCTTTGGATTGCTTTCGATTATTTAAGTTAGTGCATTGGCTGTGGATACATCCAGTGGTCGTACTTATGGTGTTTGATGAACTGCAGGAGAGATTTGAGGAACCGAGGAGCGAATTCCACAGCAAGAGGCTATCCGCTTTGTACGAATCTCTGGTAAATCCCTTCGACGAGAGCCCGAAGATCGTCGAGATCGACACGTTCAAGCCGAGGTCTCGGTCACGCCGAATGAACAGCGTGCTGACCGAATATGGAGAAGATTTTGCCTACCATGCTGTCTCGTCCCCACTCCCCTGTACTGGCCCTGCCCCGGCCCGGCTCTCGATCCCCGATTGCCGCCACATGCAAGACTTTGATTGGTGCATCGTTGGGGATGAGTGCAGGTTCTCGACAGCTCAGAGCACGCCCCGGTTAGCCAATTCTCTGGGGTACTTCGTTCCGGCAACCCCCGCGAAGAGCGTGTGCGGGGACCACTTCTTCCGCCCCTATTCCGGTGGATTCCCCAACTATATGTCAAACACGCAGTCATTCAATGCCAAGTTGCGGTCCCATAGCGCCCCGAAGCAGAGGCCTGAGCCGGGGTCTAAGAAGAGGCTCTCGCTAAACGAGATCATGGCGTCGAGAAACAGCATGAGCGGTGTTAGGATGCAGAGGTCTTGCTCTCACCTTCAAGAAGTTCTGAATGGTTGAGATTTGAAAACTTTCTTATGCATTGGCGAAGTTAGGAGTAGTCCGGTTTTTTAAGGTTGTTGAATTGAAACAGAGCTTCTATCTCAGCCTCATGAGTTTGCCACTTGATGTGAGACGAAAGCATAGGATGAGCCAGAGTGCTTGTGTAAATTGTCCTTGACAGAGTTGTTTTCTTGTGTGAAAAATGGCTGCTTACAGGTTGTTTTTTGTAATGAAAAGTGCATGGAAAAGATAAATCTCTTGGCCATATTTATGTTCAAAAGATGATGAATTGCAATTTGTGCTATCCAACACGAGTGCCAAGGGTCATGTAGTCGGTCATACACAGCACAGGGTTGGACCAACTATTGGAGGTTCATGTTTGCCTTTTGTTCAAGCTTTTGCATGGGGATATCTTTCTATTTCAGCCAAACAAAGCAAGTTGAAATCACCACTTTATGAAAGAGGTCACAGCCAAAAGTTCCCCTGTGAATGGATCCCTAATAGTCAATAATCAATGTCCTCCCTTTCTGGTTAAAACTTGAAAAGTCACCAAAAAGGCTTGTCCTTGAACCAAGTTGATGAGCAAAAGTCCTTTGGCTGTTAATAGCCAACCATGTTAAAGCTTCCCTCAATTGTCAACATGGCCATCCATGAGAGAGAGAGAGAGAGAGAGTTTTCAAAAGGACAATGAAAATTTTGTACTTTATTACTTAATACGTCATCTTTTCAATGTTTTCTTCATTCTTATCTTTGTAGGGCAATTATTCTATGCCTTTATTCATTTCGAAAAAACCGATCTAAGCTTTACGAATGCGTAAAATACCAAACTCAACCGAAAGTCGACACTTCATTCGCAATTAGACCGCCAGACACGTCGACATGATCTGGCAAAAACAATCTTGTACCATACATATTAATCGAAAATGTCGTTGCGACAATGACCATAACGGTCAGAACCCGCTCGAGTTTCTCGTTGGATTAAGAGATTTAGGGCATGCGGGTCGGTCTTGTCACCGAATTGCTCACTCGATATGGGTATCTCCGGTGCAATAGCTATTTATACATCGTGACGTTAGGTTTAGGGTCGCTACCGATTCTCATTTTTGAAAATAGGATCCTGAACTAGAGCGCTATGTATTGGAAGAGTTAGATGAGCCTACTTTGAGTTTCAACTGTGGTGGGGAAAAGAAAGAAGGGAAAAAGAGAAGAAAAACAAAACAGAGATCATGCACAGAGAAAGCTCTTGTTTAGCATCAGCTTAAGCATATAGCATAGAGCTGCAGAGGGTCCTTCCTTTGGTGTAGCTTTTGGGCAGGGGGGACAAATGAATGGCCTAGTTTCTCATCAGCAATGATTAGGACTAGGAGGGAGAGGAGAGAGGGGGGATTCGACATGATTGATGGGCACTGGGCACGTCGTGGCAGTAGCCTTTTTCACGCCCCTCACGTGCTTCCTGGATAAGGAAACAGGAAAGAGACAAAGAAAGGGGGGGACGTCATTATTAAGGGGCAGTTTCGGTATTTGCGCTGCCTCCTTTTGTGTTTCCTTTTTTTTTTTCTCTGACTAATTATTGTTTGGATATTTATTTTTAACTTAGCCCCATGCCTCGTCGAGTGCACATTTGCTGCAGCGAAGTAGATAAGGTTGCCCCCTGCCCCCTTGGTGCTGTCATCGACAGCATTGTGGAATCCCGTGATTGCCCTCTTGGCTAATGACAGTTTACCCTGGTAATTCGGATTAGCTTTCTCTCTAATTAGGAAAAATTAGACCCTCTTTTTTGGCCTAATTCTCTAAAAAAAACCCCAACTTTAGGTCAAATTACAAATCTGTCATGAAATTTTTTTTGTCTTAGAAAAAACCCAAAACTTTAGGTCCAGTCCCGAATCTGCCCCGAACTTTTTTTTATCTCAAAAAAAACCTCAAACTTTAAATTTAGTCCCAAATCTGCCCCGAATTTTGTTTTGTATAAAAAATCACCAAAATTCAATTTATTTTCAAAAATATACCCCGATGATTCAATCCAAACTTGACGTGGCACTTCCACGTCGATAACAAATCTATATCAATAAAGTAATAGGGCTTTTTTAAAATAGAGAAAAGTTCGGAGCAAATTTGGACTGAACATAAAAATTAATTTTTTTTAATTCACGAAAAACGATTACAAGACTTGTGGCAGGTATGTTATTCCACGTACAAACAGCTCTTCAAGCCTTTATAAAAGGGACCGACTTTTAGCCACCAAGCCCCTCTTCAAATTTTGATTAGAACCTAAGAACTGCTTTATAGTAACAAAATTCTGATACACAGATTTCATATTATGGCAAGTGCGGAGCATATTACCAGGACTAATCAGCACACATATGTTTGTATTCCAGGCAGTAAGGTAGAGGCAAAGATTTAGGGATTCATAATGCATTCAGGTTTTATTTCTTAAGGCTTTTCTGCATATAGATCTTTTCTCTAAACTTTACAAACATTGCCTTATATAAGCACAAGAGTAGACAAACAGCTAATTATTGGTGAAGTTCCGGAAGTCATCAATAATTTGACACTCTCTGACCGACCACAATTTAACTGACAGATGACAACAAAAACTTTTACAACTGACATACTCATAATAGACTCTTGGACGACAGTTTTTCTTTTTGTTTGCACATTTTCTTCTTACTACAGTGTTGCTACAGTGTTGAACAGTGATGAATAGTACATTGCTATAGTAACTTCCCGACAACGAGCCATTTTCTTCAACCGCGCTTGGTACGTCTTCAAAGGTCATATTTACGAATCGGTTCTTCGGTATTATCGTCATCAAAGCTGTCCGAACTACCTCTGTCCTTTTGTCTCCTGTATTCTCTAATGATTCTTTCCACTTCTACGATATCTAGGCCCAAGTCTTCATGAAGTTCTAAAGACTTTTGTCTTTTTTGTAGAGACTCATAGGAAGTACCTGGAACGTCTGCAGAACTTAAGGTGATATCAGCTGGACATAATGGCATAGTTGGCTTGGGAAAGTTTTCTAATTGTAATGACGGACTGTTTTTGTCAAGATTTAGACTGAGTACAAGTTGTAACTCACTGTAATCATACGAGTCTTGCGATAATGGACCTCCCCATGGATCATGTGATTGAGGGGCGTGAGACGAGGATGAGGCCTCTTGGGATGAGAATGAGGCAGCAACATCGATATTAGCTTACATATTTATGCCATAATATTGTCCCAACACTATGCCAATCACTGTCTGATACTTGTGATCAGCTGGATGATCCCAAGACACGTTGCTAGAACTAGTTGGCCATATCTCTGGTGGTATCACTTGGTTGTATTGGTATAGAAGTCTCTGGAGCTCTTTATATTCTTGGGGAAGTGCCAAATTTTTGCTCGGAAGAGTTTTGAAGAATTTCTTTGGAATCGGCTGAGGCTTGTATGTAGTTACTCCTACATCACCTGAAATTTTACTCACATCTCCATTTAAACGAATAAAAAACCATGGCTTGTGAAACGGGACTATTGTATGCAATTTCGGATTGGGTCAACAGGCTCTAAGTTGTTCTTGAAACATGCATTTTCAAGCTTCCGGTGATTTGAACCAATTAAGAATATCACCTAAATGTTTAAACTTCTTTTCACCTGAGAGAATTCTGCCAATAATAAAAATAATTATGGTTGTTGGAAAATTCAATGGCTATGGTATAGAGATTGAACAAATACCAATGAAACCACTTGAATTCTTCTGGGAACTCGTCTTCAAGATTGAGAGAGATAGGATGGATGAAAGGATAATATGGATACAGTCCACTGGGTCTGAGACTTAATCCTCCGTACCTACTGAAATCAGTATCTGATATTTCCACATTAGTGATGGTAGATTTTAAAAAATGGTGTTGTATTGGATGTATGTAGGAATTTCCGGCGGGTATTGCTTGTTGGGCCAAGAAGATTTCATTTTGGTGGGTTTAAATCCCCCGAATGGATTTTGAGACACATACATGTTTATGAATGTGATTGGTGCAGCAAATTCTTTTGGTCGTGACAAGAAATCAGCAAGCACGTTCTTCTTTCCTGCTATGTGCTTGGTTTCAAATGAATACTTTGAAAACCATTATGCCCATATGAAGAGTTGAGGATGAGAAATTTGCTTTTATTTGAACCTTAGCATTTGGGAGAAAGAGGATATATCTAATTGAACTAGAAAATCATGTCCAAGAAGAGGAAATTCAAACTTCTTAATGTCATACCTTACTGCCAAGATTTCGTTGAAAGTAGAATGATAATGCATCTCACTTTGCGTAAATCTTCCACTTTTGTGTCAACAGATTTTACGCTTTCCATAATTTCTTCGAAAAGAATAGTAGCTCAAGACTCATCACTAGCATCTATCTGTAAAATTCTCTGTTTAGTAGAAGGGATTTGTCGAGGAGGAAAATATTGCAAAACTTCTTAGAGACGTTTGACTGATTTAGTCTACTGAGGTCCCCATGAAGAGGCATTCTTTTTTAGCATCTGCTGCAGTGGACTTACCAATTTGGTGATTTTGGGAACGAAGTCTCTAAGATAATTGACTATCCCAAGAAACTGTTAAATCTGTTTGAGAGAAAGATTCTCATCAGAAATTTTCTGCAATTCTTCAGCAATATGGGGGCCAGGATAATATGACCCATCCTTAAGATGCATTCCTAAAAATTCAATTTCTCTCTGGGCAATAATCATCTTTTTCTGGGATAGCATGATGTCATATTTCTGGACCAATTCAGCAAACTGGCCTAGCAGTTTATAATGAGAATCCTCATTAGGACTGTAAAGGAGGATATCATTAATGTAAATTAGAGCATTAGCCAAAATAGGCTGGAAGATTTTGCATATAGCCTTTTGGAACAATGAATGAGCAGTTTTAAGACCAAAGGAGAGCACTGTCCACTGAAAATGTCGGTTGGGGATGCAAAATCCAATTTTGTGCCTATCATCTGGATGAATTCCCAATTGCCATAATCTAGCTTTAAGGTCAAATTTGGAATAAACCTTGACTTGGGTTAGACTGGAAAATAACGAGTTCCAATAGGGTAATGGAAACTTATCATCCTGGAGAAATTGATTGAGTGGCTGGTAATTATGACCAACCTCATTTGGGATGGATTTGTTATTGTCCCTAATTTTCATATCCTATAATGGTTTTATTTTAGAGGATTTCAACAATTTTTATTTGGTTTGATTTGTTATCGAAGTGGAAATACAACGTCGGTCTACACCTATTGCCCCATTACTTTGCTGATGCGGATTTGTTATGACGTGGAAGTGCCACGTCAAGTTGGGACTAGATTACGAGGGTATATTTTTTAAAATAAATTCAAATTTGCTGATTTTTTTTACATAAAACAAAATTCGGGACAAATTTAGGACTGAACATAAAGTTTGAGATTTTTTCTGAGACAATAAAAAGTTCGGAGCATATTTGAGATTGGACCTAAAGTTTAAGGTTTTTTCCTAAACAAAAAAAAATTTATGATAGATTTTGGACTTGATCTACAAATTTGAGGTTTTTTTGGGGAATTCACCCCTGTTTTTTAATAACATGGGACCAGTTTTAAAAGCAGACTTGCGGTTCACTCTTCTCTTGCCTGCGAAACGCCAGTCACTTCGTCCAATTGGTACCATCGAACATGTCGTAAACGCTGGAAACATAGTACAATAAAATATGGCAGGACTTTTGGTTTGGCTCCTTTGATGTAACGTGTGGGACTTGTAGTATCAGCCCATCATTTGCATTAACTTGTACTTCCTAAAACTTGTAATATTGATGCATCGTTCTTCCAAATTTCATGGCTTTTACTCTACTTTTGTTCCACACGAAACATCTACATGTATATAAACATTGACATGTTTAATCACGTATGCTTTTCAGTAGTTTTCTAAATCACAAAATAGAAATGAAATCTATCTAATCCCTTTCGCTCTTTGGTAGGGATCATGAGCACCATTTAATTGTACGCTGAGAAATATCTACTCTACCAAGTCTAGAGTTAGGATGTAAACATAGAACTCGAAATAAAAGAAGAAAAAAAATCAACGTCGAGTTTCACGCAAATGCACCATTCCTTCCATGAATTCAAATATCGCCGGAATAAAGGAAACGAGAAAAGGAAGGGAGGAATGTTACGCCGACTAGGACCACTCTACAATGCGAGACTTTAGAGATTCGATCACGCGAACGGCGGGGCGATGATGCTAATTTCCCACACACAACCCCCTTCCCCCCCCCCCCCGTCATTTTCAATTCCGAAAGGAAAGTCGAAGTTTGCGAGAAATTTCCCTAGGTAACGTCGTCACATTTTCTCGGAGTTAAAAAAACAGGAAGAAAGAGACGTTAGGGGATCGATTAAACAAATGCTTCCCCTAGAAGGCCAAAGTATGTCCCTTCAGATTCAAACACCGACAGCCCAATTTCTTATTCAAATCCGTCCATGATCATCTGCTTTGCTTCTCTCTAGGGGGAAAGCTCTTCCCACGAAGAAGGTAGTGGAGTCAATTCTGCTTGGTCGAGCGGCCAACGCTGGCGTCATCCTCGCTCGTTTTTTCAAATTTCGACGAGCTCCCCCCAGCTCGAATAAAGTACACTTCTTCTGCGCTGCGCCAGTAAGGAATCTGGATTTGATGCCAGGGAGAGAGAGAGAGAGAGAGAGAGAGAGAGAGAGAACCAGGCTTGTGTTTCTTGGGCTCATCAGCAGTTCGGTCCCCTTTCGGATCTTGAACGAATCAAAGGGGGGGATGTGTTTCTTCTTGTTCTTCTTGGTCGATCCGAACAGGAAAGTACCATGAAATGGGTCGAGGTCAAATTTCGCATTCAATGCAAGAACCCCAAGATCTATGGTTCCTAGTGGACACAGAAGCAGCTAAAAAGCTCCCACCTTGACCGTCTAGGAACCCGGGGTTTTTCCTAGGGTGGAGAAGAGCATCGTAAACCTCGGAGATTGATTAAGGAGATGAATAGGCTAATCAAAGCTTAATTGGGTCGGTTTGGTTTTTTGCTTTTTCATCATGTGGTTGCCACTACTATTATATCAGAAGGCCACAAAGGCCCTTTGTGCCTTTTGTCTGTAATGCTGATGTTGTTTCTCCTTGTCAGGCTCGTGGTTAGAGGCCCGAGCTCTTCGATCTGTTTAAGCTCGGGGGGAAGGGGGACCATTCTAAGGAGATTGTCATTAATTTCATACACAGCTTATGTAAACTATGGTTTCTACCATACCGATCAGAGCTTATTCGAACTATAGTCGAGATTAAGGCGCGTGCGCCGATTCATCTTCTCATAATTTAAGCATGGCTTCTTCTTAATCAATATTCGCTTCCCTTGGTCATTCGGTTCCGCCTCGGTCGATGTTCTTGGATATGGGGTTTAGCTTCCGAGGAAAGGAGAGGGACCTTGGTTCCCGATCTTTAAGGAGGTCAGGTTACTAAACTCTTTATAGCTAACTTCAAGGGATTTGGCGCCTAGGTGTAGATCAGGATTAGGCGCGGGGGCATGGTGTCCATAGATCGCAAGTCCTCATGCTACCAAGTGCCCGATTGCCCCGGGCCACCCGCTCGTGCTCCGACCGGCTCCTTAAGAGGCCACCGTCGTGGCCCGCGAGGTCGGTCGGATAGTTCGCGGGCCGAAACGTTGGTTAATAACCTCATCGCCGGGTCATGGGGATTGAATCGTCGCTGGAAAAAAAATGGGCTCGCGAGCGAAGAAAATATCCGGATCTGGGCCAACTCGGCCCACACTCTTTGGGCCTCCGGGACGAGGCCCAATTTAACCCGAGGCCCCGCTCTTACTAGCCGTTACAGACGGAAGTGGTCGGTCTGGACAGCTCAACGGTCAAAAAATGGAGGGGGGCTCCCTTTCGAATTCAAAAGGAGGTCTGCAAATATATAAGGCGGTACCGCCCCGCTCCCCAACGGTCGAATTTATCCATCATCTTCATCCGTCCCCGCAATCTCCCTCCAAAAAAGAAAAAGTCAATCAAGAAAACTGAAGAACCTGAAAGCTTCACCGAAAATTCGCCGGCATGGATGTTACCGGGAGCTCCTCTTCTTCTCCCGCCAAAAGATCTCCCGGCGCGAAGCCCTCCGTATCCGGTATGTCTCTCTCTCTCTCTCTCTCCCTCCCTCCCTCTCTCTCTTTCCGGAATGCTTCATTGTTGTCCGTGCGCATGAATATTTATCGGCCACCAAACAGAGGAGCTTTCATCGGTTTGTTGCTCAACGAGCTGAATCTTGTGTGTGAATGGCGCAGATGAGAACGATCACAGTCTTCATTTTCGGCAACTGGGGTTCTGTAACATGAAGAAGCCGTCGCCGAAGAAGAATCTGCCTACTGTTGGAGCTTCAAAGGTTATTCCTCCAAAGAACAAGGTCTTAGCAGAAAGAAACGGATCCGACCACCCCATCGGAAACATCCCCGTTTCCTATTCGGAGCCCGTCAAAGCGAGCCCCAGCACCAGCAGTTCCAAGATATCCCCGTCCTCGTCGGCCTGTAGGTTCGGCAAGGAATGTTCGCTTCCTTATGAACCGTACACGAATTACCTATCTCCGCGGCCCCAGTTCCTCCGGTACAAGCCAGATAGGCAGCGAGAGATGGGGCTTCGCCTGGAGAAAGAGGCGGGAAAAGGAAAGGAGGGATCGAGCTCAGGCGAGAGTTGTAACGAGTCAGGAAACGTCAATAGAGAGGGAGCTGGTTCGGTTAGCTCCTGTGATGTTCTGAAGCTAGATGGGGAAGAAGATCCTGGGGATAGCGATGATGAAGTTGAAGAGGAGGAGGAAGAAGAAGAGCAGAGAAGCTCAATTTGCCAAGAGCTACTCAAGACCTTGCTTTTGCTTGTAGTGCTGGTATTTCCAGCCTCATCATATATGTCTGACATGAACTTGGCTCCATCAATGTCACGCGAAGTTGGGGTCAGTGAAGATGGGTACTGGAGCATCAAGAATTTTACATATGAAGAAGCTGCTTTATATGGGAGAGCTCTTGGGCTTGGATGTGGCTCAAACCTCATGAATCAGGCACGTGAACCCGAAAATGATGTCGGTTTTCTGTTGAAGAATGCGGACAGTATTGATGAGCTTGAAGAGCAAGAGGAAGTGGTTGAATTCGTGTTAGGAGCTACTAAAAATACTAATGACGACGGAAGTGAGCAGGGATTGGCCGTGATCGATGTGGGGGATGAAATGGAGCTAAATTTGGAGGAAAGTTATCATATTGATCAGGGAATTGCTAAACCAGATGAGGTTTGCGATCAACTAACTATTGGTTTTGAGTTGCACCAGAGCGAAGATGCAGAGAACTTGGACTGTGATATTCCTAATGCCTTGGATATGGAAGCCAAGCCGCCATTGGAATCAGAAATTCGGACATTGGTGCAAAGAGAAGTCGAGAAAGAATGGGGAAAAGTTGATGAGGAAAGTGGAGTAAATTTCCCCATCAAAAAGCCTGAAGCAGAATTGAACAATGAAGTGCTTATGTTTCGCATTGGAACTGAGTCAAGTTATAATGCTATTATTGGTTTATTAACTGTGTCATTGGCGATTTCCGCAGCTTTCCTCTTTGGCCTGTTCTTGAAAGGCAAAAAGAATCCGGCCAATCCTGTTGTTTCTTCTCCTTTGAAGAAGCAACTGTGTCCTGAACCTGTGGCTGAAGAAAAGCATGAGCCGCAATTCCAGATGAAAGAACATAACTGCACCGAGCCACTTGTTCCAAATTCAATTACAGATCCATCTCCAGTTCGTGCACTTGAGGAAGCCAGCACACAGTCTAACCAAAGTCAAGCACCGAAGATCGAGCTGCTCGGAGAATTCGTGGTCGGAGAGCTAAGCAGCTCGTACAGGAGAAGAGAAATGAAAAGCAAGATGATTGGCAAAGTTGAAGAGAGCACAAATTCTGTGTCCACGGATAAGTCAGGGATCAAGGTCAATGTGACACGGCCGGCTTTCTCGGAATTGTCTTCGATGAACTCCCCTTCGCATGAAAGCTTCACTGCTGACAGGAACATTAAGAAGCCACAGGTTAGTGCTAATTCTAGAGGGAATTGCTCAACTCTGTATCGGTCAATTGCAGTTCAATTCATTTTATTCACTTTACTGAATCTTTTTATATGCTCTGAATCGAGAAACTTTATCAGAAAGAGATATTGAATATTGAATCCACGGGAATATTAGATACCTGACAAATGAAAGGAAATTATAGTCTGTTCAGAACACCAAAAATTGAATATCTTTAATTAATTAACACGAATGCTTTCAATGCTGAAGCAGGAGGATGGAGCAGGAGAATTGAGGACGGCTGTTGTGACGCCTGGCAGGCGATCTAGCCGGATTCAAAACACTCCAGTGAGGCGATCTAGCCGGATTCGGAATCTAGGGATTCAATCTCCATAAAGCACATTGCTCTCGAATCAGACTAGAACAGCAACCTCTGTTGCTTCATTTTGCGAGACCCCATCCCAAGAGAACTACTCGGGAGATCAAAAGCTTGACAGCTTCAGCATTCTTTGTTGTTCTTAGAACTTTCATTTAGCTTTGTATGGTTAGGCAATTTTCAAGACATTGTGTCCAGTAATGTGTATCCGCGCTGCTTGTTCTGCTCTGCAAATTAACCAAGACTTCAATGCCTTAGTCAAATCATGTTGTGTAGGTTTGAGGGAGCAAACTGGATGCCGCAGACTCAGCACAAATCAACACATACAAACATAAATGGGGTCCTACTTACTGCTCTATTTATTAGCCTCTACGCAACTGATGGACAGCCTCATTTGAGCTGTGTCCTGTAAATATCTAATTACAGAGCCAGTTACATTGCACGTCCAAGATTTCAATCCTTTGTCCAAACTTTTACAACTCGAAAGCCCTGAACTTTTTAAACCTCCTTTCTTACCTAATGACTAACTTTTCTCGACACAGCATCCTTGATGCTTGATTTTGGGAGACCCCATCCCACGAGAACTACTCGGGAGATCTCAAAAGCTCGACAGCTTCAGCATTCTTTGTTGTTCTTAGATATTTTATTTAGCGCATTGTATGGTTAAGCCATTTTCAAGACATTGTGTCCAGTAATGTGTATCCGTGCTGCTTGTTCTGCTCTGCAAATTAACCAAAACTTCGATGCCTTAGTCAAATCATGTTGTCAAGGTTTGAGGGAGCAAAGTGGATTCTTACTGCTCTATTCATTAGCCTCTATGCAACTGATGCACAACTTCATTTGAGCTGAGTCTTATAAATATCTGATTACAAGGCCAGATTGCACGTCCAAAATTTCAATCCTTTGTCCAAACTCTGCTGGGTTATATCTCTCTTTTACAACTCTAAAGCCCTGAACTTTTTAAACCCCCTTTCTTACCTTTCAATTGTGAGAATTCAATTTCGAGAATGACTAACTTCTCTCGACACTGATTACAGCTCTCAATTCCTAAATCTTTAATTTCTTAATTGTAATCGTCTAGCTTAGTACTTTCTAATTTTCAGTTTAAACATATGGACAACCTTTTTTTTGCACATTTCACTGATCTCCGCTCATAAAGCAACACTGCTCTCGAATCAGACTGGAACAGCAACCTCTGTCGCTTCACTTTGCGAGACCCCATCCAACGGGAGATCAAAAAAGCTCGACAGCTTCAGCATTCTTCGTTGTTCTTTTTACTTTCATTTAGCTTTAGGCCATTTTCAAGACATTGTGTCCAGTAACATGTATCCGTGCTACTTGTTCTGCTCTGCAAATTAACCAAGACTTCAATGCCTTGGTCAAATCGTGTTGTCAAGTTTTGAGGGAGCAAAGTGGGTTCTGCAAACTTCAGCACAGATCAGTTCAGAACCGTTTTCTCTTCAGCTGTTGCTCTGAAACCAGTGATACATACAAACGTAATGGGTTCATACTTACTGCTCTGTTTATTTTAGCCTCTACGCAACTGATGCACCACCTCAAGAAAGATTGCACGTCCAAAATTTCAATCCTTTGTCTGAACTTTGACGACTCGAAAGCCCTGAACTTTTTAGATCTCCTTCCTTACCTTTCAATTGCAAGAATGACCAAAAACAAAAACCCTCTTAATTGATTACAGCTCGACATATGTCAAACATATGTTGTAATCGTCCAGTTTAGTATTTTCAAGTTGTCAGTTCAATCATACGTCAAACCTTTATTGCACATTTCACTGATCGAAATGTTAAAAGATCAATTTTTCCGATCGAAGTGTTGGAGAAAAGATCGACCCACTTCCATTCCTGACCCAGCCGTCCGAAAAAAAAATGACAAAACTTTTAAGACGTTTCAAGCAAAAGCACGACAGAAGAGGGAGAGAAGGAATGTGGGGAAGATGATTGTTGAAGAGCTCAATGGGTTTTGAACTACAACTGCCCACCTTCCCCTTGTCGATTTCGCAGAGATCACCTTTCGGCGAGAGGCGCACCTTCGTCGCGCCACGCCGATACACAATCTCTGCTAAAATTATCCAGCACCACAAAGAGTAAAAAGACCCAAAATCTTTCACGAAAACAACAATCGAATCGCAGTCCTCAAACAACTAGCAATACTCATTACAATCCACGCGAGACGCAGAAAGAGAAAGAGAACAGAAGGAGGGCGGGAGGGAGGGATTTGCTCTCGGATAGGGCACGGCGACGGCCAATTTAAGGGGAGGGAGGAAGGAGCATTTAGGGTTTCGGTGGCGGCTGAAGATGAAGAAGAAGTTGGGCGTTGCCGCGTCGGGAAAGACAACAACAGTGTTTATCGAAAGCCCTAGATTTTGGGCTGGGCCACTGGAAAAGGCCCATATATAAGTCATCGACACGGCCCATGAGACATATACCCGATTTCTTCCTTGTTTTATTTTCTTTAGCTGGAATTTTTCTTTTTTTTTTGAGCATGTGTAGATAGTACAGGTACGTTTATGCATGTATTTATGTACGTAAGCACATTGCACGACATGGAAGAAATTGAACCGCCGTAAAGGTCCATGAACTCGGAGAATCAGTTGGTGGGGGGGGTACGAGGGAGATGTCGCGAGCGCGGCGGAAAAGCGGATGCAGAACAAGAAATTTAAGAGCCCGACAAAGCAAACAGACAATTAACGTGATTCGAGAATGTGGATTGTGGTCATGGCAATGGCGACAAGAACATTTGATGAACTCTGCCACAAACGAGCTTGAACCATGTCCTCCAAGGCTTGGAACATGAAGATGCAAAACTCCATGCAAGGAATATCAAAATCTAAGAGAGAAAACGTCGAGAAACAAGAATCGCATAATCGATGCTGCTGGCTGACTTGCTGCTGCGACATTGTATATACAGGCCATGTTCTTCTTGTTTCCCAAAAAGGACGTGCAAATGCCGAGTCAGGATTTCTTGATCTTGAAAGTGCATATTAGTATAATCGAGAAGGGCGGGCCGAAACTCATTCTTGAAAGAATAACAACTAAAAAATGCCTTCATCTGCCACGAAAGAAAAGTCAGAAAATCAGACACGGTAAACAGGATTTCCAGTTTAACACATCTCAAAGAGTGTATTCCACAAAATAGCGATCATCCATCCTGTGATAGCAAGATACTCACCGTCGTTGTCATCTCCCATGTTGAAATCGTCTTCATCATCATCAAAGTCTACATTCTGCAACATCAGATGACATCTATTACTGGCAAAGTTGTTTAATACAAGAAACATTCCATGCTCTCCTTCGTACTTCATCCGTTTTCTCTTACCAAGCAAAGAAACATAGAAACAAACTAAAGGAATCTAACAAATCACAGAAAGAGTTCATATAGTGAAATTACAAGTCTATTTACTAGCCACTGCATGCTTTGCCGTTTACTCGTATCTAAATGCCTCTCTACATGCTCTCACCTAGAGGCCGGTTGTCTACCAAACCAACCAGCATGTTATGGGAGAAATCTATAATTTAAGAGTTTGCCCATCCAAACAAGTCTACGTTGATAGAATCTATTAGCCAATATTTTCTTCTATCTGGCAAGCAACGCCTGTTGCAAATATGAACGGACCACTTCCTCACTGTGAAAGGAAAATAAGCATGAACATTAAATCTGTGGGGTTCATCTCCAGAGTTTTGTTTGTAGTATTCAGGACCTTTTGTGATAAAAACGAACATTCCAGGGGATTTATTTCTTGATCAATGAGCAGAAGCAGATGTATTCATGGATTGCAGTGTAATTGCTAAGTCATACGAAATCAATACTTGCTAATATATTCACGTTCGACCAAAAAAATATATTCACGTTAATTCTGAACGAACCTGGTTGTAATCACCATCATCACTAAATTCTTCATCAGCCTCCTCCACTCCATCATCTTGCTCTTCTTCTTCACCTTCTTTCTTTTCCTTTTCACCTTTGTCTTCTTGGCCCTATAAACAGGGACAAACTATCAAGTTAGGCATCCAGATAGGAAGCAAAAGGCTCAGAAAAGGCCTTGAATGTTAAAATTGTATGTGTTTGAAGAAGACAAAGAAAAGGGGTAAACAGGGGGATCCATGCATAGTAAAAGTTTTTACCTGATACTTCTGTTCAAGCTTCTCAAAGAGATCGAGCTTCTGCATGTCTGCAAAAGGACATTCATATTTCATCAGAATCGGTTCTAATGGACCTAATTTGGGAAGGGTGGAGACTTTACTAGCAAAAAGTAATCGTATATTGCCAAAAAACAGATGTCATTCACCATGAGACTAGGAGCTCTCAGTAAAGAAAGACAATTTTAGTATGAGCACTAAGAAGTTTGAGCTGTTTTGCTGATACAAGAAATAAACCATTCAAATGCCATTCATCCTTAAATATTATGCACATCCATACACAGACATATAGATCCATCTGCTCACCGCATTCTAGGCTGCACAAATTTTGCAGAATCTCAGAAATTTGTAGTTTTATTGGCCCCAAACACAATTCATGAGATTTTACGAAAAACTATCATAAATTACATTTAAGTGACTAGTAGTGACTAGAGAGAAACCATCACCAAGGCAAATTTTTTCTGTTTGGTCAAAATCATCAAGGCAAATTGCGGGGCAAACATTTGAAGCAATTTTCTCAGGAAACGGAAAACTCAGAATTGACAAGATCATAATCAAGGAAGTCATTTTATTATCAAACCTGACTCTGGGTTCCACTGCACCCTTTTCCTCTTTCTCCTCCGCTCCTCTCTAGAATCTACTTATGGCATAACAAACAAAAGTTAAAACGTATTGACAAAACCAAATGAAGCAAGCAAAGTTAGACACTGTCTGGAAGAACAATGTTTCAGATTGCAAACCTGCTACAAGTTCTCTGGGGAAATTAGAAGCATTAGCCTCTAGGAATTGCATGAAAGAATCACGTGTCGGCTTGGCCTTCATCTTTTCCCGGTCAGAGAACCTCTCTATATCAATGCTTTGGCTCGCTAAAAGCACACACATACAACGTGATAGACTTAGTAGAGCCGCTAGAATTTTAATTCAAGGGGCATCAAATTATGCAAATAACCGACTTAAAATGATAAAACAGTAGGTGCAGCTGAATTATACTTGAAGTAAAACCAGTCAACAAGCGAACACTAGATACATGTAAAACAACCAACTTCCTTTAAGGAATGAGTGCCACCATGACTCAAAGCCAAATTAATGTGAAAGATATATGCCTTGCTCACTCTCCCTCATCAAACAAATCTAAAAGCAAGCAACTCTGGAGAGAAAATGCTCACTGCTTGAAATGGTCTCTTCGAGGTAATAAGGAGACGATTTCCAGTAATTTTGCAACCTTGAACTCCAAACTACAAGTGCCCTTTCCTCCTTAGACACATCTCGCACTGGTGGTAACTCGACATCCTGCAATTACACCCAAAAAAACTTCACCATATAAATTATAAACAGCACTCTTATCCATCAAAGGAAACTTCAACTGATGCAAGACAAAGGGGAAGGGCAATCCCAGCTTAAAAAAAGAAAAGAAAAAGAAGACATAACTCACTGGGAAAAGAACAAATGGCTCTTGCTTGGCAAAGGAGGTTCTACCACCACCACCAAATCTCCCTCGGCCGCGACCTCTAGAAGCCATGGATACCCTGAGAAAAAGACATTGAGATGCTTATGACCATAAGACGCGTGAACCAAGCGAAGAATTCGTTCTGATCAGCTGCATGAAGAAGTACGTGAAAACCGCTCCCGCGACCACTCAAAATTCCGGTCGAAAAGCTTGGAATTCGATAGCTAATCGCTTCGGCTCCGTCCAGTGCCGGAACAAATTCCACGCGCGAATCCAAAGCATCAACAAAGCGCTGTCAGAGGCATTTCATCGAACACCTGCCGTGACAAAACTGTCCTCCGATCAGGATCAATCCCATCCAAAGGAGAAAGAGGACGCTGCTACTACTAATCACAACGCACGACGAATCACGTTGTGGGTGGGGTAATATGTTGAGCGTATGTCGTGTGCGCGTGTGGAGAAACTACTGGGTGAGATTGTCTGCGAGAGAACAGAGCAATGGCGTCTGAGCGGCGGGTGACAAGAGAAGAGGGAGAGAGATACGGTATTTTTTATTTTTGTTGGGACCGAACACGGTTTTTTTTTTTTTACTGCTTATGGATTTTTTCATGTCTTTTTGGGTATAAAAAAGGCCAAAGCCAATTTTTTTTTCATGTCTTTTTTTTTTTTCGTGTCTTTACTTAACCAAATTATTGATTTTCTATGTACATATACCACAGCAATCCCTCACACACCACAGCACGATACACTTGACACATCAAAGTAAATACACATTTATATTAGTCATATTTCATGTACAACACGTATGCTGCTCACAAAAATACGAAATTTATTTTGTATAAATTATAAAACACAATAAAGTGCACAAATTGTCTCAATTATTAATTGTCTAGTCTAGCTATTAAATTTGTTCCCTTGTTCATCATCGTATTAACCATTACATTGCAAGTTTGGTCCTGCCGTATGGGTATGAAAATAGTAGATTTACGGGTGGGTACATTTGTTCGTCAACTCTCATTAACTCATTGAAAAGTTCGTGACTTTTCTGCAGCTGTCTACATTGAATCATTTGATCTGACGAGCCTGCGCGAGCCTACTTAGGTCCTTTTGAAATGGTCAAGAACACGAGTAAACCTCGAACAGAGGTCGCCTTCGCGATTTCGACCCGAATAAACGTATTGTGCAGCCAACGAACTGCCGATAGGATGTACAATTCGCGAGGCAATTCCAACCACGGACATTACAATTTCTCAAGATACAACACCACAACCTTGCAAAAGTATTCTATAATGATGGAATGGTTCCTCCTCTTTATTTAAAAGCCAAAAATAGAAAAAAGGGGATATGTGGAAGAGGGGATTAGTTCCTCTTCCTGACCGGATAAAAATTGCAGGAGCCCCGAGTGGGATTCTGATAGCAGCCCTCTCAGAAAATCGAGAAACAACAGTGAAAATTCGAGAAACACGGCTTTCAGCTCGTGCCGCCAGAACACTATCCTTATATATGAGGCCGACTCCACGTTGAATGTAAGCCCCAGTCATCTTGCACTCGTACTTCATGAGGGTCGTGCACGGTCATTCATCAGTTTCTTGTCGAAAAAGTGAGCTAAGAGAGTGATCACGCTGACAAGATTTCCAGAACAGCCTCTGGGGTATCAAGTGCCTCGTTGAAAGAAGCTCTGTATCTTTCGCCATTTCCATAGCAAAAAGCACATTAAGCATTATAACCTGCTGAATCCGACTCGGCGTTCATCAAAGCAGAATCACGACGCCCATCACCGCAGAGGACTCACAATCCAACCTGTGATTGGATTTTTCCTGCGAACCCGGACTTTCCTGTGGGAACCACTTTGTATCCTTTCAAGCAAGGAGTAGGTGATAGAATCTGGGGTCAATCCCTGCTGCTTAAGTTTTGCATAAAGATCTACAGCTTGTGCCGTTCTCCCACACTTCTCGAGACAGTCCAGCAAAATGTTGTATGTCACAATGTTCGGGCAACAGCCTTTTGCAAGCATTTCATCAAACAGGCAGCATGCCATATCCACTTTATCCGTCTTGCCAAAGCATTCGATAAGTGTGCTATATGTAACAACATCAGGATTCAGACCTTTCTCTTGCATCTCCTTGAACCTGATGTGAGCTTCATCAAGATCACCATTTTTCCCCAGGCAATTGATAAGTGAATTATATGAGATAACATCGGGGTTACAATTGCTCCGCTCAAGCTCTTCGAAGACTTTGACAGTCTCGTCAACCTTTCCCATTCTGCCAAAGCTGGAGATTAGGATGTTGTATGTATATATGTCTGGTGAAGGGCCATCAAGCTTCATCTTTTCATAAAGGTCCTGAAGTTGGGATATTTGCTTATACTTTTTCAGAGCGGAGAATACCATGTTATACATCATGGTATTGGGATTTACTCCTTTTTCGTGTATATTCTGCAGAAGTTCCAGAGCTTCTGTTGTCTTACCTGAACTGCACAAACTTTCTAACATAGACATGTAAGCATCCCTATCTCCCTGGTCATGATAAATCCACATGTTGCAAAATAGCCTGTGAGCTTCACCAGCATGGCCCAATTTGCTGAGCGTTCTCACAAGAAACGCATATATTGATTTGTTCAAGAACTTCTTAGACATTTCGATGACCTCATCCAACCGACCTAGTTGCCCTTCTGAGACTAAGAGATTCAGAATTACGCTATAAATGAACTCGTTGGGGCGACACTCGTTTTTCACCATCTTAGAGAAGATGTATAGGGCCTTGTCAACCATATGGCCTCTAGCAAGTGCTTCTATGATGGTGTTATAAGAAATTAAATTGACAGATAAGCCTTTATCCATCATTTCTTGGAAAAGTACCATTGCTTCATCAGGTTTCCCAATCTTTCCATTCAATCTGATCAAAATGGTGTATGAAAATTCATCAGGTTCACACCACTTCCTCTTCATGTCATCAAAAACCTTGGAAGCTTCCTCAACCTACCAAGAAGCTGCAGATCAGGCAATCAGGCTACACAGGAACTCTGAGGCAGAGTGATAGTAAATCAAAAAATCCAGTCAGTTAATTACATGGACCAAGAGAGAGGCGTTGCCCTGATGCTAAATCAAGTATATTATCATCTAGAGTAATCTTAAGTATTCGAAGATTAGTTTACAAAGCTGTTATACCAAGTGATATAGCAAAGTTCTATTGGGTGTGAAATGCACCTCACTATCTTAAATGTCCAGTCAAGATCTGCTGCACAACTCAAATAAAAAATATATCAAGCGTTACTCTATCCTCATATGTCCACTGACTATTGCACTTTCACTTTGAGTCAACGCCAATCCAATAGCACAATGAAACATCTAATCAGCATCTGAATTAGTTCGTGCTTAGTATAGCAAGCACAATAAATTAAATCAAGTAATCTCAAGAAAACATTTCGGCATTTGTTGGCTTAAAGTATTAGTCCCTTATCAGTAATTTAACTACAATTATTTCCCGGCACAATTGTGCGCCCCAAATCTAAATTGGTCTATGCACAATTTTGTCAATAAGCGTGATAATAAATGAGGTCATCACGTGCTGTTATGCATCATCATATTCAACCCTCATCTAGTGCCTCGGCAATACAAGAATTATCAGAAATTTAGCAAAATGAGCTACAATGCTGGATAATAATATGCACAGAAAATTCTCTCGACAAACCTCGAGAAATGTCAACCAATTATCGGTTTACATGTTTTAATGCTGCATCAGCGAATCTACTACACTCACTAATACTGTAGTTCCAAATCAGGCTTTAAGGCTTTATTGTTGGCATATGGAAACTATGTCATCAGATAATATGCTATTGAGCATACTTCTCGGGAACATAACATTTCAACCTTGATTAGTGCAAGCCTCCAACAAGTATCATCAAGAATGCAACCCAAGAAATCTGTAATCTCAAAACCTAAAGCTACACCAAAAGAACTTAGTCCCAGGCTCCTAGCCTTGATTTATGGAGCGTAAACACGTTAACGGTGTACATGCCAGCTTAATGATCAATGAAAACTTCTGAGCACACTACAGTCCGTGCACAAGAATCGAATTCACAAACTCAAGCAACAATCACAGAACTAAATTCCAGCCCCACAAACACATGAAGGAACGACTATAAGAGTACATACAGATTCATCTAAATAAGACGCCGACCTTTTCATCTTTAGCAAGAGCATCCAGCAGCATGTTATAAGCAAATATATCCAACTTATACCCTCTTCTTCTCATCTCCCAGTACACATCAAAGGCGTTTTTCGAGTTATACGACCTCACATGAGCTTGAACCAAGCACTTATACGTATAGCAATTCAGCTTCAGCTCCCATTTCCTCGCCAAACTCACGCACTTGTCCAAATCCCCGGTGTTGCCGCCGAAGATCCCGATCAGGAGATTAACGGTGGAAATCGTGCCGCGCAGGCCGGATTTCTCCATCTCCTCGACGATCGAGCGGACCCGATCGAACCGGTCGGGGTCGGTCGACTTGGAGAGGACGAGCAAGATGCGGTTGTAGGTGAAGGCGTTGTGCTGGAAATTCGGGGAAAGTGAAGGGCAGGATCGGAAGAATTTCAGGGCGAGGCGGGGGCAGCTTATGGACTTGAGGATCTCGGAGGCTTCCGACAGGGTAAGGGAGGGGGAGAGAGAGTGGAAGAAGCTGGACAGGCGAGAGAAGGCGTCGTCATCGCCCTCGCCGTCGGGGGGCGGCGGCGAAGAGCCGCGGGGACGGCGGCCGTGGTGGAGGAGGATGTTGGTGGCGGCGCAGATGAGGTCGCGGCGGGGGATGGGGTAGCCGCGGACGTCGGTGGGGAGGGGCGGCGGAGGGGGGACCTCCGCCGAGAGGGAGCGGCCGGAGGGGGAGACCGAGGTCACCCTGGCGGTGTACTTGGTGGCGTAGCGGCGGCGGCGGGGGAGGAGGAGGAGGAGGGGGGACGCGGCGGCGAGGAGGTGGCGCCGATGGCGGCGAAGGAGACGCATGGCGGTGGTCGTTTGAGCTTTGTCAAATTACGACAGAGCAGCGACAGAGCAGCGAGTGTGTGCCAGTGCCACTGCTCCGTCTTGAGGTCAGGCGATTTTCGGAGAACCGGAGCAAAGCGGCGCCGTTACGCAAATCCTGGGCCTACTGTTAATGGGCTTTTGTTATGAAGGCCCACCATTCTTTTCCTTTCCTTTTTGGTCCTTTTCAATTTTAGAGAGAATCATGATTTGTCCCCCTTGAGTTTCTTGACATTATCAACTTTGCACCCCCCCAAACAATCAAATTGACTCAGTCTGCCCCGCGAAATTCCCGCAGCGGCTGCTTCCCTCGTCCCTCTTCGAGTGGAGCAATCTGGTCCGCGAACCTAGATAATGAGTCGGAGTCGAATGGCTCGCGTGTGCAGGCTTCCTTTTCTCCATCCTAGTAGGCATTGGGTCGGGCCACCATCCGCGTACCCTCTTGATCATCGCTAAAGAGCACGTCACAACGTCACATGGTCCGAACAAGCAGTTCCGATGAAGGTCCGATCCGACAAGGTCGTCTTGTTGAATCATACGGCAGGGTAAAGCCCACAACATCCTGTTGCCCATCTTGCTTTATTACCTTTAGCTTATGGACGTAGGAAAAATTCGATTGCTACTGAGAGCCACTAAAAGCAGTTAATGATCTTAGTCATCATCTAATTGGCACATAGGCGCTTCGTCAGCTCTCAAGGCAAACATAATCCCTGTCTACATCGTCGTGTCAAACAAGAGAAATTTAAAGAACAAGGATTGAAGCACAGCATCTGAATGGCGTCGGGCAAAAATTGGAACATAACGGAACCCGAAAAACTTTTGCAATTTTGCAACTTTAGAACTTCATGGGAAATGGAGGGGCCCAAAATCATAAAAAAGCAATCTTAGTCACGAATGAATCCTCCGAGATCAACGCGCGCGGGTGTTGCTTTCCAATGCATTGAGGTCAAAACTTCCTCAAAAGACCTTATTGAGATGGAACGAGATGAACGGTGTGCAGGCGGCGAGCCAGGTGGAAAATTGCGGCAGGAGAGCGCGAAATGGATCTGGGGCTTCATCTTGCATGGAATCTTCTGCTCACCGATTCATAGCTCGGGACATGGATAACTGCCATAAAAGGAGGAATTTTATAGATGTCTCATTCCTAGAGCACCGATCGTAAGGGACTTTAAATGTGTGTTCGGAGGTTGGGTAGAAAAATAGTTACCATCCCCGTACGAGGCCATTGTCAGCGGTGAAGAAAGAACTCGACGAGCGACGCTAGTGATATCATCCAAAGTGATTTTCTCAACATCCTTCAGAAAATGCTCCACGGGTTTCCTGAAAGACAGCAAAAGGGATGTCAAAACAAATGTGTGTTCTGTTCACCTTGGACACTGCACTAACTTCTTGATATTTTAAGGAGGCTTTTGCTTCTAGCTCGTGCATTTGGCTCTAGAGTGAAAGCATATATGAATAAATGTTATATTGGAAATTTTATGTAGCTCGTTGATTTGGCTCTCGTGCATTCGTTCTTTCCTAAGTAAGAGCCACAAATCAAAAACTCTTCTAGCAGCTTCGAAATGACATTGAATCAATGGCAAAGCTAAAGCAATAGACTCATGGCCAAAAGCCACATACATGTTGTGCCTTTTGCCTCTAATTTGCATGAGTGGTAATATGCAAAGACCGGCAGTCTTAAAAAACTCTATGGCCTCCATTTCTTATTTTCTGCAGACTAGCTTAGTTCCCACGAGATGACCATGTTGTCAGAAATTCGATAATATGTGGGGTCTACTCTCATGACCCATTTATATGAAATGATCATAACAAAAAACTGAACATCAAAATGCATAGCTACCTGTAATGCCTACTAATATCACTATTCAAGCTTTGCATTGCATCCATAGACGTGAAGGTAAAGCTAAAACCGGAGGTAACCGACGTAACAAGCATGAGTGCACAGTATGTCAATTATAGCATCAGTGTCACTTAAATACCTCTCTCCAAATGTCAAGATCTGTCTTCCTATGTCTTCCGAGACAATCATCTGTGAGAGGCAACAATTAGAAATCACCACAAGTATTGACAGTAAAAACTTCCCAAACGAAAGAGAATAGAAACAGAGGCTGAAAAAGTTGTGAGACAATCATATTCAAGGAATTTAAGAGATACCTTGAGGTAAAAGAAAGTTTGCATAGAAGGAAATAGAAAAAAAGAGTCATGTATGTTTAGGCCAAATAGCCTTCATTTTTAGTCAAGCTATCTTATTTTCTTTTCCTGTTCTTAAGGAATCATTTCAAGATGGAGTTTGAACCATACTCTAGATTCCAAATTCATCAGGACTGCAGACTTTGTAGACTCTTTAGCGCGATTAAGTTGCACTTGAGTAACTGCCAAAAAGGAAAATTTTCAATTGATGTCAGGGCAAAGTAGAAACAAAAAACAAAAATGGCACATTGAAGAACAAAAACAGATGCAGCATGAACCTTGTCCAGGCGTTGCCAGCGCCAATAATTCTTCTGCAGCTAAATCGACGGCTTTTGCCACAAAGTCAGAGCTCTGCTAACCAAATGTAGAAGAAAGATAATAAGCTCAGAAGTAATTAGCAAAACATTAAAGTTTGTCACTGCCAGTAATTTCGTCAACACTTAGTCAGTGGCACTCCACGCTGACAGAACCTAAAAAGAATGAAGTTCTAATTTACCATAGATTTTTGTGTTTTAACCAATGTCAAGCATCTGAGACCCACGTCACTCTTTTCTTACGTCTCCGGTCAGTGCCAAAACCAAAATGTATGAATCAGAAGCTAACCCCAGAATTGTTTCCACATAGAAACTCAACTTCTGCCCCATAATCGCATCCTCAAAATTATTATTATATATCCTTCCCAACCCAGCAATACAAGTCTGTCATGAAGAGTGACGAGATTGGAAGTCAGATACCCCCGAGCTCCATTCCCGTTCCGATAGACTGTTTTATGTGCGTTTCCATCCACTCAGGCCAGTACCATCAGATCATGAGACTTAATATTTCTGTACAAATACATTATCGGACATCTACAATATCTATGACCAACTAGCACGGTCCAGCAGAAGGAATGCAAAGTTAGCAAGAGAAAGGAGGAGATATGAAGCAGTCTTACAGTGCTAGCATAAATGCCGAACAACCCAGTTTTATTGAAAATGCTGTTGAATGCTGAAAAAGATTGAATCTGTTGGTGCTCGTTCAACACACGGAGATCTGCGTATTCGAGATGAACAGATGCATTAATCTTAGGTAATGTGTTCCAAGGATACAAGGTCTACTAGTCCAACAAAAGCAAGAGTGTGCACGAAGAACCATGCTCATCAATCAATGAAAGCCTGAATATTTGATACCTCGCACTGAAACAGAGAACTCAACAAAATTAAGGTCAGGACACAACTTACACAGCCTGGAATGCATTCCTTTTCCTGGGCCTCCAGCTGAAAATGAACCACCACCTCCCATAAGCATCTGCAGGACTAATGAAATGTCACCCATCTTCATTAAACTAAAAAAGCAAAAGTCTCAAGGGATCCTTATAGGACAAGAGACGACACTGAAACAACACTGCGATGGTCCACCAAACTAAGGAGGGAACAGATTTTCGTGCTAACCTGAATCACGGTCAAGATGACTGCATCCCTTTCCTTAATCCATCCACCAGGAAGTTCAAAAGCAAGAGCAATATGTGTGCTCTGCACAGATAAAACTGAGAGATAAGTGACAATTTAGTTATTCCCTTTTCTTATCTCTTTTAAATAATAACGAGAGAAATACCCCTGAATCAGCCTGTTGTCGAAAATCACCACCGACATACTTGGATGCTGGCTCTGCAGGACGAGCAACATTAGGAAGGTCTGAAAGAAGGTGTTCTGCTATGGACAAGAGCTCTTCATGCTCAACCCCAGATGCAGCAAAAACCATCCTAGGTGCTGTATAATTTTCCTGAATTTTAAATGTAAATAGTTTCTCAGGAAAACCAGGCACGGAAGAAAGATAAAAACCACACTATGACAAATGAAAAGATTTAAGCAAGAAAATGCTGAAGGAAAGAGATTGCAGGGATGGTCTAGTGAATATATGCTCAACAAATGCAGCGTTCAATAAGTTCCAGTCTTACAGCCACAAATTCCTCCAATATGGTATTGTCCAATCGGTTTAGTGCTGACTCAGGAGCCAAGAGTGGATTTGCCAGTGCACCGGTATAACCAGCAGAATGAATAGCCTCCAAAAGTAAGCCTTGAGGATTGTTAGAAAGTTCACTAAGTTCTGCTTTCACCTTTCGTAGCTGTATAACCACACAAATGATTAACTTAGAAACCAGAAATAAAATCTAACGATTATAGAAGGGCAGAAGTAGAAGCAAAAGAACAACACTGGTAGCGTTTTCCTTCCGAAGCAAGTCTGGCATAAACAGAAGCTTCCACGAATACATGCATTTTTAAAATTTAAAGTCCCTGCATGCCTTGTGGAACAGCAAAAGCATGCAGATGTATAAGACATAATCATTTGAAACTTATGCCCAGTACATATTTTCTAATTACATGGATGCTTTGATTTTAGGAGCATAGTTGCACCCAGCAAGGGTAGCTAAGTACATAAAACAAAGTTCAACCTTTATCTAAATTGAACTTTGCATTTCTTTCGACCATTCAAACAGATTATACACATATAGATATTCCTTTTTCTCAATGTGACCGCCACCAACAGGAAACTAAAGAATACTGGGCTATGCTCAGCACATCTTAATGTTGCAAGAAAACCAAATGAACGATTCTGTAAGGACAGCTAGGTCAACATCAGATGTAGAGAATTGACAAAGGTATAAACTTTAAAAGTACACGTTCAAGTGACAACCGTTCAAAGGCTAATTTCGGTGTACCTCTTCATTGACTTCCCAGTCCAAGAATATGGGGTTCCTCACACTGTCAATGAGTAACTCTACCATCTCTGGAACATAAGTCTTCAAGGCATCGAAAGTGTAACCCATCTGCTCCCTCGAGGCAGAGGCAGCAACATTACCTCCAATTGCCTCCACTTCTCTAACAACACGCAGATGACTCCTATTCCTTGTGCTCTTAAATGCCATCCTCTCCAGCAGGTGTGTGGCCCCACAGGTGATGGGAGTTTCATAGACAGAACCACAGTCAATGTATAATCCTATGGAGGCTGCAGGATTCTAGTCAACCAGAAATAAACAACTAAACTAAATCAGAAGCAATCACATTGAAAATGGAGACGTAGGCAGGAAATAATACAGACAAGAAATTGAAGCTGAATGAACTTAATTGAACGACAATCGAACTGCAAAGTGGAAACGCACTGTCGATGTTTCCGAGGCGATTTTGACGCCATTAGGGAGGGTAGTAATCTTGGTCTTGCTTGGTTCGACATAATCCGGTATTGCATCGGGAGGAGTAATGCCTGCAAGGGGTATCTCTAGAGGAGGAAGTGTACTTGAACTTTCTCCAGTCAACCAACTAAATAAACCCGATGAGGTGGAACTTGCCGCAACTGCACTTGAAGTAGCATACCTGCGAGTTCCTAGGCTCCCCACTCGGCCCTGTCACGTGATAGTAAATGATAAGATGTATATGCTGTTCGGAACTCCCATGCACATTTCGATTATTACTGCGTATGAAACGCCACATACTATGATCACTTATGGTGATAATAAAGAATATACAAATGTAATCTAGTATTTTGTTGTTAAAGAACCCAGAAAAGAACCATTTTCAGTACTGGCTTATCTCTTGCTCAGCGGTAATAAGACGCGCGACTTCAGAATAACCTTCTACCGCAAGGTGAGCATCATTAAGAATGCAATAGCTACGACACTGGCAAAACAAAAAAAGAATCTCAACAGAGGCATTCATTTTGGTCGTTTGGAACTCTTGGTTTGATCAATAAGCACACTGCAGACCAAAAGAGCTATCCATTTTACTCGAAACAAATAGAATATAGCCAGCATCACCAAAGCAACATTAGCTCAGAACCCGAGAACGAACAAACCCAAAATTCAGGCCAAACAAAGGGACCAAACCCAAATCAAAATCGAAGCTGCGCCTGACACAAAATCCTGGGTTGCATTTCCAACCCACCGAACCCAATGTCTCCCCAACTTCCGCTAGTGATCAACCATTCGATTGAACGCCGACCCAGTCACGCAGAACTCAGGGACACCACACAAACCAGCACAAGAACCTGTTCCCGTTCTTACAAAGTTCCCGGCTCGCTCAAATTTGAGGTGTGAATCGCAAAAAGCCCGGATCTTTGGAGGGTACCCACGTGAATACTGACCTTAAGAGACCTGAGGCGCGAAGCTGCAGTACGGTACATGACGCTTTTGGCGAAGTGATCGAAGCCCTGAGAGCAAGCTCTTCCCTTTTCGGACGCAGCAGCTAACGGAGTCTTCTGTGCCGGAAAAATGGTGCGCTCGAGGGAAGGAGGAAGCGAGCGACGGTGGCTGCGGAAATAGTATAGGAGCAGCCGCAACGACAGAATGGCATTCTGGTAATTTTAGGGGGAGGTTATGTGAAAGGCCCTCTAACTTTACCGATCTTCATCAATTTGTCCCGTCGGGTTTTCAAATTGCTGCATTTAGACCCTTTGATCTATGTTTTTTTGGAGAAAAAAATGTGTACTCGAAGAACCTTTTTTTTTCCCCATTTCCATGGTTAACGTTCTCTAAAAGAATCGAATCGAGAAATTAAAATTGCTAATTATTTTGCATTCATCCGGTCGTGTCGATTTCGAGACACTGTGGATTAAAACAGGCTTTTTTTCCAAATGATGCATCTCAAGCAATAATGAGCCCATAAGGTGAACCAAAGAGGACTTCATTTAAGGTCATTTGATTCATTTTCTTTCCTAAATCTCCGGAGGTGAACCAGGAAAGAAGAATTCTCAAGCTCTATTGGCCGCCGTGCGGTCTAACTTTCCTACTGGTAGACGGGTCACGGTTCCGAAAGTAATGGGAATCGCATTGAGCTAATAGAGATATAATAGCAAGAGACTCTATAGTTAGATCTGATAATACCACTGTGCGAACAAGCCTATAAGTCGAGTCGTTTGCAACTTCTGGCCGGGAAAGAAAGGTCTTCCGCCATAGGACATGGGGAGTGAGGCCAAAAGATTCTACATGACCGTGGTTATGGGCCTAATGGACCGGTTGAGTAGGCCCATTAAGCCCAACTTGCCCTGAAATCAAAGATGTGATGTCTCCTTGGTTACTCCGGCGTCGAGAGAATATACTTGTACGGATCCGGGTTCAATGGACCAACTGGATTGTATCCGTTGATCCCGTGAGAACCACGAAATCAACTATTGTGATTCATCCGATTCGCTAGATAATTGATCCGCGAAAGAAATCCCAACGTCCGAGCCACGCCAATGTGTCGTTTTTCGCTTTCTAAAGTCCGGATTGACTTTTACTTAAATCAAACATAGAAACATGCACAACTTGACCATTTCAAATTTTATATATCTGAAATTCTCATAAAATATAATTGTTAAAATGAGAACTCCCGTGGGCATGTTGCGCATGCGGGGTGCAAGAGGCGGAGCAAAGCAAAAGTCAAAAGAGAAAAGGAAAATTAAAGATGGGATGGACATAAAAACACTTTCGCGTAACTTTTTATAATCTTTTATTTTATTATCATTAAAAAAATATAGTACTTTCTTACTTAATCATTAACAAACCAGTCTTTAAGTTAAACCCGTTGAGCAAGTGATAGTAGATAACGGCATTTCCTTATCCAAAAAATGTAGCTGTTTGTCGGCTTCTGATTGGCAATTTTTGAAGCCATTGCATGACTCTGTCACGAAAAGTAAGAGAAGAAAAAATTAGACAGGTGAATGTGACAAAAAGCCGGCAGGTAGGCCGCTCTTGCTAATAAAGGGATTTGTGAATGAGGTCGGAGAGTGAGTTGAGAGCTAGAATATGACAGATGAAAAAAAAAATCGAAACTAGACTAAACAAGAATTTGAAATCTAATGGAACTAAACTGAATTTATAGTTCAATTCGATTCAATCCGTAAGCAAAATTGAATAAATACTTACTTGGCTCAATTCTCCTGTCCTTTAACTTTTATTTTCTAAAAACTATAACCGAGCATTACTGATGTTTTGCATGGTATTATTGACGTCACTGCATAGTACCGTTTGATATTCGAGTTTGGAAAAAAAAATTCCAAAAATTATTTTTCAACTAATGGGATCAGATGCCGGACATAACCTGAGATGTACGGCTAGCCAATGGAGGCAACGGCGGAAACGGTGAGAACAAAGCGAGTCGAGAAAGAGAATTGTAAAGAGAAGAAAAAACTCTTTAAAATATCCAAAAATGCAAAAGTTACACAAAAATTTGAGTAAATCTAAGAAAATTTGTACCTTTCAAGGCGGAGGCGGCGGTAGCATGGTACAGATTAGGGCATGGTTTGTCGGACGGCAGAGACGGCGCGAATAGAGCAAGACGAGAGAGAGAGACGGCGAGAATAGAGCGAGTCAAGAGAGAGATAGAGTGGTTCATCAAACAACAAAGGCAACGAACAAGGCGGAGGCGACCGCTTAATTAGCATGAGTTGGGAGGGAGAGAGAGCAAAGCATGAAGAAAGAGTGAAGAGAGAGATCGTCGAAGTGGAGAGAGAGAGTCTCGCTCGAACCTTTAAAATTTGGTTAGCTGACACAAGTGGTCCCTGGCAACACGTGTCACTCGATAAATGGACTCAAATTTTGCCATACTAGAATTTGAGCTCTACCCAATATTTTCTCCTTCTTAGTTGCCATTTTGTGATTTGAATTATTGATCATGTAAAACAAATGTGAGTCTTCTCGCAAATTAGGATTCTCTATCGAAAATACACAAATCATTTCCGACACTCTTCATTTGAATTCCAAAAGCACTCATATTTACGACTTTACTTATTATGGAGAAAATGGACCAACGGATCTCCCGATCTTTAGTCTAATTACCTGTCTTTCTTTTGGTCGAGCACTTTCGGGTAGTGTTCGGATCAACTTTCGGACCCTTTTGGCCGGTCTACCTTCTCAGGAGATCTTGAGAATGCCCTCTTTCACCCTAACCCAATACTCCTATTCCTCTATTTTTCTGTTTTTTTGTTTTTTCGAACTAAACAGAAAAAGAATAAAAATCCATTTGGTAATGTCATTTAATTTTTCTATTCCCCGGAGTAGAAAAGTGGCAAGGAAATAAATTTGAAATACAAACAAGAAGGAAAAAAAATCTACTTCTTTATTCCTGAATTTTTTTTAAAAAGTCATTTTATTTTTTTCTTTTTTTTTTCCTTTCTTCTTCTTCCTCCTCTAGTCAGTCGCTAGGCCTCGAAGATGGGCGCGAGGTCGAGCTGTTGGAGGAAGAAGAAGGGAGAAAAAAAAATTCAAAAAGTTCAAAAAATTAGAAAAATCAGAGAAAATTATCAAAAAACTAAAAAAAATCTACGTTATGAAAATTTTTTAGGGTCGTACCAAACGATTTTCTGTTCTTTTTCTATACTAAGAATATAAATTTTATGCGATTATCAAACATTTTCTTCTGCTCAGAAATTCGTTCGAAAAATAGAAATAGGAAAAAAAAGCTATTTATGGAAAGAAATTATTTTCGGGAACAGAAATATTATGACCTTAAGATTTTATTTTTTAAGTGCAAAAAAAAAAACAAAAACGGAATGAAAATGAATAAAAAAAAATGGAGCAAACTCCCCGTCATCAAAAGCAACACCTTAATGATTAAATATTTTATTGAAAGCAAGCAGCGCAATAATTCCAGTGGGACCAGGCATATCAATTTTCTTCACAAAAAGAAAAAAAAATTATTACGGGAGGAGTCAAAATAAAACGAATCCCGCACGAAGCGTGGGAACTAACGTCAGTCAAGAGTCAACGAAGCAGGCATGCTAAACGCCCCTAAAGGACCGTTTTGCCCCTCCCACGTGTCCGACGGCCACGAGCTCCGTGGAATATTTTCCACTCCCTTTCCTAGTCTAGTCCAGTCTGGAGTTCTACCGTCCTCTTCTTCCCAAAAAATAGAATAGTCAAAAGAAATAAAAAGGAAAAATAAAAATATTTTATTAGTCAAAGCGCCTCTAACCGCCCTCTGATGAACCCGCCATCGACGGCTACAAATCGCGCGCTGTCCGCCGCTGGTGTGCTCCCATCCCCAGCGGAACAAAGAAGCAAAACCCACCCATGCCCACCGTTTCCACCACCTCCTCCTCCACCATCTCGAGCTCCGCTTCAATCTCCATCCCGAAGGTTCGGTGCTTCGACCCCGCGAGCTCCAGTCCCGCGTCCTTCAATCACCACCGGCGCCGCTCCATGAGCCACGGCAACTGCTCCCCGGTTGCGACGCGCGCCTCGAACGGCGGCGCCACGGCGACGGGCTCGCCGCCGCCGATCGCCGACCGGAAGATCGTCGCCGGAGAGGCCGGCTACGTCCTCGAAGACGTCCCTCACTTGACCGATTACTTACCTGACCTCCCTGTAAATACTCTCTCTCTCTCTCTCTCTCTCTCTAGAAGAAGTAGTTCGATGATGCCGATTTCGGATGACTTGACTTGAGAGAGAAGTTAGCGAAGAGAAGAGAAGAAGTTATTTGGAGTTGATCGCGCGCTCTACTTGTTCAGCGAGAGCTGTTTTTTGTTTGTTTCTTCCCGCTGAATTGGACGTGCGATTCATTTCTTTAATTGCTTAATTTTATTTTGGATTTATGCTAATATTCCTTATCTGGTAAGTGGGAAGCAAGCGAAAATCGAAATCCTTGCTGATGGCGCCATCATTCAATAGCTTCATCGTTCTTCAATGATGGGCGCCATGTTTTTGTCTGTTTTCAAAACCGAAACAGCGAAGTAAACGAGGAAAAAAAACGTAGGATTGCGGCGTCAAAGGGCTTATACATGTCATGCTGTTAGGGTATCATACGTGCACGAATTCACTGTGAAGTTTGCTGCAGTTCCATTGATCTCTGGTCCCACTTCTCGTGCAGACGTATCCTAATCCGTTGCAAGACAATCCCTCCTATTCGGTAGTCAAGTGAGTTCGCAATACGACTCTGCTGTTGAGCTGCTGGTTTATCGATTAATTTATTTCCGGATGAGTGTGCTGCGTAAAAAAATTGAACATATTCGTTGATCGATGAAACAGGCAGCATTTCGTCAATGTGGACATTACGGTGGCCCAAAAGGTGAATTACTCTTTTTTATTAGAAATTTATTCTCTTTTCTGTGACTTTCAATTTCCATTAGTTTCTGCATGTACACGGTTAGGCTTGATGACAAGCATTCCGCTCGCTGTTCTGTAGATTGTTGTTCACAAGAATAGCCCGAGAGGGACCCATTTTCGGCGAGCTGGACCTCGGCAGAAGGTGTGGGATCGTTTCTACTTTGTTGTCTACGTTTTTGGCCATCCTGAAATTTTAAGTTGACCTGTGCCATTGCATTCTCAGGTGTATTTTGAATCAGATGAAGTGCACGCCTGTATTGTAACATGTGGGGGCCTGTGCCCTGGCCTGAATACTGTCATTAGAGAAATAGTCTGCGGTCTATACCACATGTATGGAGTCAGCGAAGTTCTTGGTATAGAGGTTAGATTTACATAATGCTATTGATCGTGCGAACTTGCCTGAAATCTAAAATTCGAAAATCTGCCGAAATTCGATGGTACTTTTACTTATCTGCTATTCAATGTTTAGGGAGGTTACAGAGGCTTTTATGCACGGAACACAATTACTTTGACGCCCAAGGTCGTTGATGACATACACAAACGTGGTGGAACTATCCTTGGGACCTCAAGAGGGGGCCATAGCACCTCAAAGATTGTTGACAGCATAGAGGACAGGGGCATCAATCAGGTATGCATTTCTTGTGCTTATGAACATTTTATTGAGGAATATCAACCGTTGCTTTCTACAGTAGCTTCTATATAACGAGGAACTCTGGCTTTGTATTATTGTTGTGCATCTCTCAGGTTTACATAATTGGAGGAGATGGAACTCAGAAAGGTGCTTCAGTTATCTTTGAGGTAATGCTGTTTGGCCAATGAATATACATTTGAGATAATGATAGTCATTGTGCACAGTTGTGAAGTCTGTACTCATCAGAGACAGATTCTGTAGAGTTTGTGATCTTGATATGATCTTTCTACAAACTGGATCGACTTTAGCAATTAGCCTAGCAGTGCTGACGTATCAACTCGATCTGTCTCTGCAGGAAATTAGAAGGCGTGGCCTGAAAGTAGCAGTTATTGGTATTCCCAAGACCATTGATAATGATATTCCGGTACTGTTCTAGCAAAGTACAATCTTAGACTCTGATATTTTTATCTTAACAGTATCTTATCTTTGTCTCATACTTCTCCTTTAGGTTATAGACAAGTCTTTTGGTTTTGATACTGCTGTGGAGGAAGCACAGCGAGCTATAAATGCAGCTCATGTCGAGTCTATAAGCATCGAGAATGGAATTGGCGTTGTTAAATTAATGGGTCGCTATAGTGGTAAGCCTCATTTTGCTATGACATTCTTCAAATATCTTTTTCTGATGAAAAGGCCAGGTAGTTAGTGGTTTCGCTAACTTTGCAATTTGGCAATAATGCCTCCTTTTGTATTTGGGGTACTCTACGGAAGCAGCCTCCACTAGTCTCAATGCATTTAATATATCAACAATATGCCTAGTTTCTACTAGGGCGCCTTGAATTCACTGATATTCCCTTTTGTCTGGTTGAACAGTGAATTTCAAATTAATAATTGCTCGGATTGACGAAGTTATAGCATCTCTATTTGCTTTTGCTGGACGGCAGTGTACTCATGTGATTGTGATGAAACATCTTGCAGGCTTCATAGCGATGCACGCTACTCTTGCCAGTCGAGATGTGGACTGTTGCTTGATCCCAGAATCCCCTTTTTATCTTGAAGGCCCTGGTGGTCTTTTTGAATACATTGAGAGAAGACTTAAAGAGGATGGGCATATGGTCATTGTCATAGCTGAGGGTGCAGGACAAGAGCTCCTATCTGAAAGCATGCGTACCATGGAACAGGCAGATGCTTCTGGAAACAAGCCACTTCAAGATGTTGGCCTCTGGATTTCTCAGAAAATTAAGGTATTAAGCCACTTATTGCGCAACATGACCTCCCGTTATTAAATGAACTCACCCATGTTAGATCTTTAGATAGGAAAATTATTAGCACAGAGAAATGACATTTTCTTTCTTTCTTGAGTGCATGCAGTTACAAAGAGTCAACTTTAGTTTTCAGCTCTGATTTCTTTATACGGAATGTTAAATACTGTTGCATTGATAAGACGAGCCATACGTGGATATTTTTCATTCCATTTTATGTGGTGAAGTGGTGTCATTTCTTGGATCGTAGACAAGAAAGTTTATCGTACTTGATTTACGGGTTTGGTTAAAATTGAGCAGGATCACTTTGCAAGGATGCGGAAGATGGCAATAAATCTCAAGTACATAGGTTAGTGTGCTGAAGTTACTCCTTTCACTATTCTTAAGCTTAGGTAATGGATTGACTCACATGAATCCGTCCTTCTTAAACTGACTAATTTGACCTAAAATTTTCGTTTGCAGATCCCACGTACATGATTCGTGCTATTCCCAGCAATGCCTCCGATAATGTGTACTGCACTCTCCTGGCTCATAGTGCCGTTCATGGTGCAATGGCAGGCTATACAGGATATACCGTTGGCCCTGTCAATGGGAGACACGCTTACATTCCGTTTTATGTGAGTCAATCCACTACTTAAGCTTGAGCACTTGTTATTATTATCCTGCTCTTTGCTTTTGGTTTCTTGCTTGCATGGGAAGGTGAGATATTTACTGCAGAATTCTGTTGGCATATTTAGTTCCAAAGTTCATAGCATAAAGGGACTTCTGTGATGGCATTCCAACAATCTATATCGCACACATGCACTGAGCCTTTCTTCACGACATTGAATTGGTCGTCTCCTCCGCGATGATTGTCTATCTCTTCCATGGAGTTCCAATTTCCAATGTCAGTTAATAGAATAGACTCATGTATATAACTTAGGCGGCAAAATCATATCTCGTGCAGAAGACCTGGATCTACCTATATTTTCTTGGAGAGTGGGGTCCAATGCCCTGTATCTATGAAGGATGTCGAGAAATGCGTGCATGTAGGATTGCTTCTTTGTGTGTAGAACACATTCATAGAAAATCTCCCCAGTTGATGAAGGAGCTATGCTTGTTGAACAATAGCCTTAAGTAATATTCTTCTATGATACTGCATTATCCAGCTCTGTCAGTCAAGTGAAGCCTTTTACCTTCTTTTGGCAGCGAATTAATGAGAGTCAGCACAAGGTCGTTATAACAGACAGGATGTGGGCAAGGCTTCTGTCTTCCACCAATCAGCCAAGCTTCTTGGACCCAAAAGAGGTCGCGAGGAAAAAGACAGAAGAAACACACCAGCCAGAGACATCGTATAATCAACTGGAGGCAGCGACGGCCAAGCAAAATGAGTAGAGAGCACCTGCCAGAAATTTAATGGCCACCTATTCGAAATTGTTCCTCGAGGTAGGAAGATCTCGATAAATATTATCCTCCTACAGTCCTTGCTCATGGATGTAATTTTGTAGAGTTCCATTACCGAATGCTCGATAATGATGCTCGGCGGCAGATGTATTGTTGTGGCCGACGTTCGCACGAGGGATGTTGTACAGAAGAAGGGAAATGATGATAAAATAAGCACCATATGAAGAATAATTTTACGGCTTAAATATAAAGTAACTGTCTCGTTTGTTTGTTCTAACTTGACCCCGTCCCCTTTCGTTCCTCTGTGGGGAATAATTTTCACACCAATTGCCGCCTCTGTTGCCATTTTGCCCTTCTCCTATGTTAACACTTCAAGCAGGATTGAGCACCGCAATAGCCGGTACGCTGTTAGCGTCGTCGACAAGTTTGACTTCGCTGACCTTCGAGTCCCTTGGGCTTTCGTGGTTGATTAAACATTTCAGTAACGCGAGATCCGTGGTGAAACAGCATGCTTCAATTTGCACGAAGGCGTGTCTGGTAGAGCTATCATCAGTCCAAGCAATCTGGTGAATGCAAGCCCCGTAACGTGGAGGGGCTTTGATCCCTACGTACACTTTGCAAAACTGTGTCACAGAAGGAGCCACACCAACATTCAAAGGTTGCTCCGACAAGCAATCTGGCTCATTTATTAGACCCTGTATTGATCGTCCTTAATACTCTTTCCTCGAAACAGTTTTGAATCCAATAAATTCATGTTTGAGTATACTGTAAAGATCGGAAAATTATGAAGCATTTTCGGTTCACGTGGAAACCGAATGATCCATTAGCTCATGCGAAGTGGGGCAAACGTAAGAGATCCCTTTCTAGCTCGATAGAGCCACTGCTCTAAAAACTACTTATGAATGTGAATTCGTAAATCCTAAAGATGCGCTATTGTCCTCTCTTAACGACCTCGGGGTTCGCCATGCTCCCGTTGCCCCCTCGTAGATAAGAAGCGATAAATAGTGTGTGTCGTAATCAAATGTGCCTTGACCACGTTTGTCTTATAAACAATCCCACTTGTTATTTTAATATAAACGGACAGCATTATGCCAATCAATAATGGTATTGGTGGGGGCAAAGCGCCTGGCTTGTGAGGTGTGGTGAGCGCATCAGATGCTCGTTCAAGATACCGTGTGAAATGGGATATAATAAGACCATGCAACAACGTTGACGACAGCTCATGTCGCATGATGCTCGCGATGCCAAGCATGCCCACCTTATATTGGCATCGTGTTTGTCCGTCTCAACAATTTATGTCGCGAAAATCGCTCTCTGCAACCTCCTCCTCTTGTGTGCGTGCGTGTGCGTGCTTGTTTTTTTTTATTTTTATGCCTTTAATTGAAAGTATGCGACTTTGGAAAGGAAGCTTGAAATGAAGTGGAATTTTTTTTTTGGGAGGCACGATAATATGCCGTACGCTCTCGCGTTCATAACTTAAACAGATTTTTTGGGTCAAACAGTATCATCTCTAACGGGCTCAAAGGTTTATAATTACGCATCAAATTGGACATTCCATGACAGACACGAAGCTTCTGTCGCGACTTCTGAGGGTCGATCCCCGACGCTTGCTTGTCGCCCCCATTTTTTTTTTTTGGCTTCTGCAAAAGCAAAATCTAAAGTTGGGCGGATCTCTCGTGTTCGGTTTATTAATGGGTGATTAATGAACTTCGAGGGGGACGACTTTCGATCTAGTTTAGTGATCAAAGGCATTCCACGCGGTCGGGATTGCATGCGATTTCAATCTCACCACCAAAGAGATTCATACATTGAACTTAAGCTTTGATTTTTCCCATGGGGCCAACTACCATATTTACGGCGCATGACAAACCCAGCTCCGTCTTATTTTAACGGAATTAAAAAAACAATTTCCCCCGCTTTTTTTTTTTAGACAAAATTGTATTTTCTCTGGATATTTCGTATAAGGACTTTTATCGACCCATGTCCTCGAATTGTTAAGCAATCGGCTAAAAAATCTTCGCAGGTTTTCAATGTACCGGCTCTCCTCAACAACATATTGATGATTAAATCACTCCGAAAAATAATAATTAATAAGTGCGCCGAGACACTCGAACAGAACCCTGAACATAATCTTCACGTCAATTCATCTTTTCCTGCTACCGGCGAATAACACACGTACCAATTAAATGTGTCCCTGATTAAATTTCCGTGTATCTAGTTTAGCGCAAATGAATTCGTAATCATAAATTAAGATCTTTCGGATGGTACATTCACGAGTGATCATTATTAGATTCACAGTTAGTGTAAAAAAAGATTTTTCTGCACAGTTAAAAGAATCATTTAATTTATGTCTCTTTTTTTCGTTTTTGGGGAAGGGGGGGGGGGGGGGGGCTATAATTGTACCGGTTAGGCTAAGGGAAAACTACAAAAGTTTAATGATTTAATCGACCGTCGATGTCCTTTCCTATAAAAAAAAAAAAAAAGGGACGGCGGCCGTGTTGACAATTGTCCCCTAGCGTCGCTCTCGCGTGACCAAAAGTCCTGTGTTACGAAACCATTTTACTTTTAATTTCTTTTCGTGATAAGAAATGAAGAATAGAGCAACAGGAATGTGAACGGTTCATTGACAGAAAATCCATACACGCAAGACAAATATTGGTCAAAGTACCCAGCAAAATTCCAGCTAATCAAATCTCAAAAGAGCAAAACTTTATATAAAACGATGAAATTGAGATCACAATTCATGAGCAAACACAATTCACGTACGCACTCAACGCGGGACTTCTTTCACTTCCGTCATGGTAAATCATTTCTTGCCCGTTCTCTCGAGAGCTCCACCCGACAACAAGCAACGGAAGATGTCTCGTGGGGCATTTGCATGCGCGTCAAACTGGATTTTTCTTAATTTTGGTGTCTCGATTCGTCGTGACAATAATTATTTACATTGAAATTAAAAAAAGAGAAAAAGAAAAAAGAGACGACGGAACCGCGAAATCGGAAGGAAAGACATGATGAGTTGGCGGGTTTTAACAGGACGCCCGCTGTTTTCTCGAACCAAAATTTCCTATTTTTAGATATTCGATTATATCCGAATATCTGTTTATCGATCTCCCCTCAAAGCTTCTCCATCTTTTCTAAATTCACAATTTAAAAAAAAAAAAAAAGAGGAAAAAGAAAATCCAACCAAACCCGAATTATCAATTTTCCCCGAGTCTTTTATTTAATCATTATTATAATTATCAGACCCCCTTTTTTTTTTTTATCATTTTCTTTTCTCCCCCCCGGTCGTCGTCAACCTTGCTTTGAACAAAGCATCTCATTCCCTCCTCCTCCCTCCTCTCTCTCTCTGCAACCTCATTTTCTCGCACCGCCACCGCCACCACCGCCGCCGGCATTCCAGAAAAGCAAGTTTCTCTCTCTATCTCTAGAATTTTTGCAGGGCGGAAAGGGCATTAGGCCTTATATATGCGCGTCGCTTTCGACGTGACACGAGACAAGAACCCCGAGGGCCGCCTTCGCTTCTCGTCCGTTCTCGCTTTTTGTATTGGAGGCGGCTTTTGGCGCATTCGGGACGGTACGGTTCTTCTTCTTCTTCTTCTCCTCCTACTTCTTCTTCTCCTTCCCCCGCACGCAAACCGGAGCGCGGAGCAAGAGCGAGCAAGAAGAGGCGGCGGCGGCGGCGGCGGCGGCGGCGTTGAGGAGAGACGATCGGAGGCGTTGAACCATACAGTTCCGCGCGCGCGCGCGCTCCGGCGCGTCCCCGACGCTTCCAATGCGTCTCCCGAGGAACCTCCGCAGGAGTGAGTATCTCTCTCTCTCTGCAAGTGCAAGCGGTGGCTCGATTGATTTACACGGGAAGCGCTTCCGTAACGTCCTCGATGATCTGCGACGAGGCGGGGCCGAGCTGTTTTATCTTTCGTTTTTTTTTAGGTGCCGTCGTGTCGTGTTGTTTCGCTGGGAGCTGATCGTGTTCGTATGGATGATGCGAAGAGTCGTGCGGTCGATTTGGCTTTTGTTGTGATCATTTTCGTTCTCCCGTGAATTTGGGTGGGAGGAGGAGCGGGGATTCGTTTCTGCGCGTCGATACTTGTGAAATTTAAAATTAGCAAGTGAAAATTTCTTCGCCTGCCTCGAAAATTTGAAGCTGTGTTTCCATTGATTCAGCGTTGTTTTGCTTGCATGCAGATGGAGGAAGATGAAGAGGAGGATTCATGACTCTCCTCTCGATTCGTCTACTTGCGGGTTCGGTTCTGTGCACAGGGCTCGGAACTTAGGCTAAGATCGATTTTATTATGGTGAGAGAAAAGAGGGATATAAGGCCGATCCTGCTGAAATTTGGGGTTGCTTTGGCTCTGTCTTTTGCTGGATTCCTCTACTCTCGCATCCGAACCAGGCGAGGCAAGCCCAAGCTGCCTCCTTCGACGGGTAGCTCTTCAGGTTTTGAATGACCTGCCCTTTTAGAGATTTCTGTCGGCCCGTCTTGTTTACGGGTTTTTTTTTTGCTGAAACTAGCTTGTTGGTTGGTCTGTTAGATCGCGGCGGCGAGGCTCGTTCTGAAGGTCAGAGAACTGGGCTAAAAAATGATCTCCATGCAGCCACTGCGATTCACGTCTCTCGCATCACCGCATCAACAACAGAGGAGAAAAATGTAAGATAAACTTAACCTTCTTATTATCCATTGAAGCTTGGTATTGGAAGTCGGGGCTTTTGTTTTTCCCAGGTTAATTTCGAAACGATCTTATAATTTCCGATTAAATAATCTGTGGTACAGGGTAAATGTGTGTTTTGATCATTCTGATGGTGACTTTAGTGTTTGTTCAATTTGACCCACTAGTTAGGAGCTGATTCCTGAAGATGATACTCCCCTTCTTCCTTTTCCATTTTGGACATGTCCGGTTCTTTTTTATATGCAGGAGCGAGCTAGTCATTTATTTGACAGAACGATGTACTCATGATGCTTTGAACTTGTAATAGGCAGACTGGTTCCCAGTGTTCCAAGTTGGACTTGTAGGAGCTGATCCTTCTGCCTTATTTTCTTTTTTTCCATCAGGATGAGACGCACGTACCGAAAGTCTATATCGATCCTTCCATGGTCAGCCGCTCTCCAAGCAGTGGGAAAAGTGGAGATAAAGACGGGTATCTCTTGCCTGAGTTTAATGATCTTGTGAAGGAACTTGACTTTGGTAATTCTGGTGCTGGGATTTCTCCGAAGAAAGATATTGAGACCCCCACGTCTGATGTGGAAACTCCTCAATCATTCTTTTGTACGGAAAGAGATGTGTATGAGGGAGAGATCAAGCACCTGAGGAGCATTGTCAGAATGCTTCGAGAGAGGGAAAGAAATCTCGAGGTCCAACTTTTAGAATATTATGGGCTCAAGGAGCAAGAAGCGGCTGTAATGGAATTCCAAAACCGTTTGAAGATAAACAATATGGAGGCTAAGCTATTCACTCTTAAGATTGAATCTCTACAAGCAGATAACCGTAGGTTAGAGGCTCAAGTGGCTGATCATGCAAAAATTGCGGCTGAACTTGACAATGCTAGATCGAAAATCAAGTTGCTGAAAAAGAAACTGAGGTTTGAAGCCGAGCAAAACAAGGAACAGATATTGGCTCTTCAGAAGAGAGTTGCTGCGTTGCATGACCAGGAGCTCAAGGCCGCAGAATATGACATGAGCGTGCAATCAAACTTGCAGAAGTTGGAACAACTGGAGCATGAGGTAGAAGAGTTGAAAAAGTCTAATCTGAGGTTGCAGCTGGATAATTCTGATTTGCTTCAGAGGCTGGAGTCCACCCAGCTTCTCGCAACCTCTGTTTTGGAAGATCCAGAGGTAATCTTTGCAGCTGTTCTAAGTTCGCTCATTGCATTTAAAGTACGACAAATTTAATCTATAATCTTTGTTTGCTTGTTAGGCAGAAGCATTGAAGAGACAGAGTGAGCGATTGAGACGAGAAAATGAAAGTTTGACAAAAGAAATCGAGCAACTCCAAGCAGATCGATGTGGTGATGTTGAGGAACTAGTCTATCTTCGATGGATAAATGCCTGCTTAAGATACGAGCTTCGGAATTATCAGCCACCAGCTGGTAAAACAGTCGCCAGGGACCTTAGCAAAACTCTGAGTCCCCAGTCTGAGGAGAAAGCCAAGCAGCTTATACTTGAATATGCTAACACGGAAGGGATCACAGATAAGGCAATCAGTTCCATTGACTTAGACTACGATCAATGGTCATCCTCACAAGCCTCGTTTCTGACAGATTCTGGCGAAAACGACGATTCATCTGTTGATAATTCTTTAGCCAGCAAGGGAAACACCACCAAGAAACACAAATTATTTGGCAAGCTTAGGAGACTGGTCCTGGGAAAAGATGGTCAGGATGATAATCGCCCTTCATCATCAGAAAAAATCGAATCCCTGGAAGTGGGCGCGGGTTCGTTCTCTTCTGATTCACCCCATTGCAGTTCAAGCGTTTTGACTGGCATAGATGCAGGAACCACTTGGCCGAGCAGCAGCATCACCACTCCATGCTTGAGTTCCTCTACACATTCTTTGGACATCCATAGACTGAGAAGTTTCAAGTTGGATGATGCAAAGGACGTAGAAAAACATCGTCGAAACAGCGACGTGGGGGTTTCTTACCTGTCCAAGAAATCCAGTGTAAGCTCGGGAGGTGCTGTGGATTTGGCTGGAAATCAAGAAGAAGATTCATTTCGGAAGTACGAGCTGGCAAAATATGCAAAGGTCCTCAAGGACTCCCGCAGCACGACACCTAAAAGCCATAGGAAATCAGCATCTTTTAGCTCTTTTTGACATTTAGAAAATCTCTCTCTCACACTTGTCCATATATACTGAGTCAATGGGTGAAAATCCACCGGTCCTTACATAGATTCACCAATGGAATACGATCGGAGAAAAGGTAATTTTGCAGAATAAGACGGGGCATTTTTGCAGCGATCACTGTATCATAGATGATGGCCTCGGCCTCGTGTGTAAGGAAGAGATGTTTTGGAACCGCATTATTAGCCCCGGTTCCATTGTGTAAATAAGACATTAGATGATGGTAATCTCTCTCAATTCTGTGTTTGATTTCGACTGCATTTGCTTTGTCGATCTCGCTAGCACCTGTGTAAACTGAAAAAGTAAGTGCTCGATATTCCTAGCAAAGCTTCTGCATTTATGAGCACGGTCTCTCTTAGCGAGATAAATGTCTTTCTTCTCAACGGAGTTATTTCACAAAGACTTGTCATCGTAAGGAGGAATGGAGGAAATAGAAAGATTTCATTCAAGTTCTTTCTGAATTGGCATGCATGAGCAAGCTCATCACTAGTGAAGCTTGTTCTCGGTCATGTTTGATCGATCAGAGTTTATTAGCCAAAAAAGGAAAATTATCGTTATCAATCTGGTTGTGTAAATGTATAATGGGAAAGAAATCGCCCAATCCGCAGTTGGATAGGCGATCGATGCACCATTATTATTGAGCTGCGGTTTATTGTAGCTAATTCATTTAGTGATATTCCGAACTTTTGTGCCTCTATTTATTGCTTCCAAAAAAGCATAGGTTGATTCACGAAGACGAGCAGCATAACGCTATTGTACTTTACACGAAAACAATAATGGCTCTTTGAAATTGCATCACAAAGGTCATTTCATGATCCGATGATTTAATTTCATGAAACGGGGGGGCTCACAGTCGAAAATGCCGTCGTTTCAGTTCCATGAACCCGCGAAACCGACCTGCCACGCGTCAAATGCAGAGCGCGAGTGAAGCGTACGCGTCTCCGCAGGTGGGAAAAGCTCCCTCCGTACGGTGCCACAGTCGCTCCAAACGGACGCGCTTCTCTTCGGCGTTATAACAGACAAAGAACCTCTCTTTTTCCCTCCCAAAAAACAGAATCTCCCCTCTCGAAAGCGGAATCGCTCTCTGCACCGCCACTGCGACGGCGACGGCGACGGCGACGACGACGGCGACGTTTCAGTGTTGTGCCCTCGTTCCAGAACCGGAGAGCGAAGACAAAATGGCGACACAAGATGATCGAGCTCAAGCACCGGAAAAGCAGCGACCGCAATCGCCGTCGAAACGAGAACGTCCGCCGCCGCAACTGGCCTCGCTGTACGTCGGCGACCTCCACCCGGAGGTCGGCGAGGCCGACCTCGTCGCGGCGTTCTCGGAGATGGGGGACGTCGCCTCCGTGCGCGTCTGCCGGGACGCGGTCTCCGGCAGGTCCCTCTGTTATGGCTACGTCAACTTCTTCTCTCGCTTCCTCGGTATAATGTTGCTTCTCTCGTTTCTCGTTTCTACTTCTCGGCTGCGTAGGAATGTTGATCAGTTCGTTCGGTCGCTCTGTTTTAGGTCTCATGCATCGTGATTGTGGTTCTGGTTTTAATAAAATGCTCGTGCTGTGCGTGCGTCTGGAGTTGTGTGTCGTTCTCGTTTCTGCATGATGCAAGCGGGACCGTGAGCAAATGTTCGTTGCTATTTATTATGGCTTCCATGGTTCTTGGTGATTTCCTTTTCGGCCTCTGTGGCTTTTCTAACTAGGCTTGCGAATTGATCCGTGGTGCTTCTGTCGTTCGTCGCTGTGCTGTCCTTCTTCTCGACTCGTTTGAGAAAATGGTCGATGACTACGGTTCTGTTGAGGGATGTGTGATTTTGAAAAGCGACTGTGCTTATGTAGCTTGCGTAGCTGGTTTTTCTTTCCTTTTCTTCTTTTTACTCCCGATTGAATTCCTTTGTTTGCTCTAGTTTCTCTCAAGGTTAGTTTATTCATACTGGCTGTTGTGGATCGTGCGTTCGTTATCGAGACAGATTTCTCACGGAAGCTTATCTTGGTACTTGCCTTTTCCCTGCTTGTAAGGTGAAACAAGGGTTTTTCTCCAATATCCATTTTGAAATGAATGAGTCAGAGCTGGTCATTTGCGCTTATTGATTTCGTCCAATCTATCTATATATCAGCTGCATTTATTTATATGCTGTGTCTCTTCCATCATGGAAGTGCACGCAAATTTTGATTTCATAACTTGTCTTTAAAAAAGAAATGCAGCAACTACCTGCCAATTTCCAAAATCGCCTTTTTTTCCTCAGAACTTGTTAACTTGAGGATTAAATTGGTCAGTCACTTAATTGTTACCTTTTGTAGGAGCAATACTATATGTTCCTGCTACTTTGGTCAATGGATTCATATATGTGTTCTTGTGCAGGCGTGCTGCGATTTTTTCGTGCTGTTTAGTCTTGCAAGTAATGGTTCTCTTTTGGTCCTTCCGTTTTCTGCAGCATCTAAGGCCTTGGCTTGTCTTAATTACTCAAAGCTGAAAGGAAAGCCCATGAGAATAATGTGGTGTCAAAGAGACCCTTCTCGAAGGAAGGCTGGAAATGCAAATCTCTTTGTCAAGAACCTTAACCCTTCAATTAGCAGTGCACGCTTGCAAAGCATTTTCTGCCAATATGGTAGCATACTCTCTTGCAAAGTTGCTGAAGACAATGGATTAAGCAAGGGATTTGGTTTTGTTCAGTTTGAATCTGAGGAATCAGCCATGAATGCTCTTAGAGCCCTCCATGATACCATGCTTGAGGGGAAGAAGATGTATGCCCTCTGTTGTCTCGGTTCCCAATTAACAAATGCTATAGCCAGTTACATTGCTTTATAGTTGTTTTGCGTGAAATTCTTGTCACTGGCCAAAATTATTGTCAGAAAAAGGAGGAGCTATACCGATTATGGACTTCTTGAAAAATAGCTGTACCGAAGCCCTGCCTAGCATAATATGGTTTTAGCGTATTCAACCTTTTAATTACTCTGTATTTAGAACCTGCTTGGTCACGTCTTCCTTTACTCAGTTTGAAAATGGAAATTGGTGACAGATATATACATGGTACTTTTGATAAGCTTATACCTTTACTTTTTCCCGATTTCTTTCTCTGATGCTAAATCAGGATTTACTGTCAACAATCGTTATGCACCCGCCTTTTCCCATTATATATTTATGTCTCGGTTTTCGTACATGTGGGAATTCTCAATTAAATACGTTGTTTATGGCATTGCTTGTAGATATGTTTCCAAATTTGTCAAGAAAAGTGAGAGAACGTCATTTAGTGAAGAGCCTGAATTTACGAATTTATACGTGAAAAATCTGGAGGAAGATATTACCGTGGATCATCTCCGAGACAAGTTCTCAGAATATGGGAAGGTTTCCAATGTTGTAATAATGAAGGACATTGATGGAAAATCAAGGGGATTTGGCTTTGTCAACTTTGAATCACCACAAGCAGCAAAGAAAGCTGTGGAGGTCGTGAACGGCTCAATAATGGGTAAAATTAGATGAAATCATTTTCTTTACATAACAAGTTTCTCCTTCTAACATTGCAAAATTTTGTAACAGGGTCGAAAATTATGTTTGTTGGAAGGGCTCAAAAGAAAGCTGAACGGGAACAGTTTTTAAAAGATGCTCACCAGGTGGTGTGCAGCAGTCGGCTTCAGAAGAATGCTTGCAATTTGTATGTGAAGAATCTTGATTTATCCATTGATGACAGCAAACTCCAGGAATACTTTAGTGGCTTTGGGACAGTAACTTCTGCAAAAGTGATGCATGAGGACAATGGATTGAGCAAGGGATTTGGTTTTGTTTGTTTCTCCAACAGTGAAGAAGCAAAAAGAGCACTGAATACACTGAATGGTATTTACAATTCCCTGTATTTCTGTCTTTTGTAGTTCATGATGATAATTAATCTCTGTACATATCATTCCAGGGATCATCTTCAGAGGAAAACCTCTCTATGTGGCAATTGCTCAGCAGAAAGATGATCGTTCCAGAAATTTACAAGAGTATCGCTCCCAGATTCAACCTCAATCTTGGCATCATTCTTACTCTAATGCCCTTCCAGGCCAACACTATGCACCCCCTTACAACATCCCTCTTCTTCATCTTCCATACACTTTACTGTCCCAATCAATTCACCGTCAGTATGTTGGAGCCAATGCTGGCCTTCCTTATGCAACAGAAAGTTACAGAGAATATCATTCCACATCTGTAATGCTTGCAATGCAAACTTTATTCTACAATGTTTCTCCATAAAAACTCAGCAATCAGCATCATTGCCAGTATCGAAGTTCTGGTCACTAACTGGTTTGCTTGTGTACATCTTCGACAGGTTCCTGGGAGGTATGAACAAACAAAGGAGGAGGGTAACTCCAAGAATTGGGTCTATGGACATCATGTAGGTCTTTGGTTATCTAAGGACCCATGCATTTACTGTTTCTCCCTTTCATTCTAAGGAAAAGGACTAGTGCTGTAGGTTTTGTGAGTTATCCACTTTCTGTCTGCCACTTTGTACTTGGACATCTAAAATGAAATTTGATGCCGCGACCTTAACATTCTTTGTTTCAGTCAACGAAATATTCCACCTCTGGCTTGCACGGGCAAGATCAGAAATTTTGCAAGCCCAGGGTTTCTGGACTAGGCATCAGGAAGAGGGGCAACAAGAAATTTCTTCCTGCAGAAAACACCACCGACAGGACTAGAAGTCTACCTGCTCCGTCATCCCAAGGGACGTGTACTACTACTCTTGGGAACTTTCTTTATCCACTCGTTGGGAATATTCAGGTCTGTCAAATGCCACAAGTTGTCTTTTATGAATGGCTTTTATTTTTCTTTACTGTTCTTTGCTTCTGATCTCCATGTCTTTCTCTCCGTTGTAGCCTGAGCATGCTGCAAAGATAACTGGGATGCTGTCGGAAATGAATGATTCTGATGTTCAGAAGCTGATCAGCTCTCCGAATTTCTTGTCTACTCAGGTTAACAAAGCAGATCAAGTGCTCAGGGAGGCAAATACTAGGACCATTGCAAGTGGTGGCATGGCCTTGCCCAAATCGGCTCGCTGCTTAAACTACTGAATGAGAGACATTACGCTTTTGATCGTTTGCTTGTTCTTAGCCCTATGTTTAGCAAAACTTTCAGCTTCTAGTGCTGCTTGAGCTTACTTCCTTTCATTTCCTTTCTTGAATTTAGTATGTGTTACTGACGAATAGATTGTAGGCACATCGTTGCCACAGGTATTGTGTCTTTTTGCCATTTTGATACTAAGGTGTTTTCTGTTTTCCCTTATTTTGCTCTGTTATCTTTCCCTTTTTTAGTCCAACTTTACGAAATCGATCTTTGCAATCAAATCTTATTGAGACATTTTGCAATCAGTAACTGCCACGAAGCATGCTGAAATTGAACATAGATTTTGGGGGAATTTTATTCCTCACGCGGACTTCTGAACAGAACGTAGTTCGAAGTGTAATAACATATTCAGTGAGGAAAACCAAATATATTTATATCAGGGAAAGGCCTTGCACGATCAACGCATCGGCGAGAACTTGATTGGCTGCTTGAGATGGATGAACGCTGTCCCAGAAAATGTATTGGGTGGCGTTGGAACAAGTTCCTGGAGACTTTGGATTGCACAAGAATACCGTGGTCTCAATCGTCCCTGTTCCGCAGCAACCTCTCCTCACTTCTGTAAAACCTACATTAAAGAATAGGAAGACGGTTAATGTTTAACAGTAACAATCCTAAAATCGTATGTATTGTTGGTGGCTGCAGTGGTAGGAGGATGTTCCCTACCATTCTGAGAAGGAGATTTGATCAGGTCATATAGTGGCTTGTAAATGTCGAACACCACGATCTTCATTCCTGGTAGTTGCTTCTCTAGACTTGCCGCTGCCGAGTTAATCTTCTTGTTGAATCCCAGAGCAGCGGCATTGATCCTAGCAACACACCCATTTTCATGGGACCCAAACAGGGTGATTGCAACAGGAAAACAACCCAGCGGTGGTAGTGAGGTCACTCCAATCTTCCTGGCTCCCAAGCCATATAACCCCTGTTCAAATAAATTTAAGCATGCTCTCAGTATAATTGATAGCTATGGTTTCAAGACTACAATTTTGGGTTTTTTCAATTTTGGACCGAGGTATGTTACCTTGATGAAGCTCGAGAATGAGCTGACGAGGATGGACGCGTACTCGTCCGGAGTGTAGACCTTGTTGACGAAAGGATTGACAAAGTAATTCTGAAGAAAGTCGCCGCTTCCCGCGCTCAGTAGGTACAGCGCATCCTTGACGATGGATGCTGCTTGCTTGCTTCCGGCCACCTTGGCTAGCTTCCCCTGGTACTCCTTGAAGTACTCAAGTTGCTGAGGTAGTGTGATCGCGTGCTGCATCAAGGAGGTCAAGTCACCTCTACTAGTATAAGCAAGAGAATTTTCTCAAAAAAAAAATAGTTACTTTGCGGTAAATTCTTACATTCAAGTAGGCTGCTTTCTCATCATAACCAGATGCAGCTGAAGCAAAGTTAGCTCCTATCAGGAGATTCTTCCCTGATGCCTCTGGACTTAGATATGCTGGAGGGTATTTCTTAAATCCCAGAGATTCGGCTGCACATGATAAAAAGGGAAAAAATGAGAGGGAAACACGAAGACCCATTAATAACTTGGACATGCAAAACAGAACTTAGCAAACAAGAAAGGAAAATTCCCGCCTCTTTCTTTCTTTTTTTGGGCACTAACCAGTGATGTCAGTGGCTAGTTTGCCATTGCAGAATCTGCCAGTGGGCTGTTGATTGGTGAAGTCCCTGCCATAGGGAGGGTAATCGGCCTTGAAAATGGTTGGGAGGTAGTTGTTGTTGCCCACATCCACAGCTGAATCCCCAAATGTGATGATGGCTGGCACCAGAGTGGTGCTACCTGAGTCCTGTGCATTCCCAGCATTGCTTGCCATTCCAAGCACTGCCAATGTCAAGCACAATGCCCATTTGATCCCCATCTTGAGTGAGCAAACAGCCTTTGAGTCACTTGAATTAGCATATGTAGAGAGTAACTTGGAAAGCCCTTATATGGCGGCACCACCCCCTGGAAGCAAGTACAGATCTTAAAGAAGGAAGATGGGAGTGTGTGAAAATTCAATGAGAGGAGATTGAAGTGGTTGGTTTCAGCATTAAAGGCCTGCTTTGGCACACACTGATGTAACACCTCCCCAACTTGCATGATAATGTTCGCATTTATTCTGTATGCAACAGATATCTTTTTCTCTCTCCTTTTTCGTGCAATTATTTGTTTTAGTGCTTCTTTAGGGTTAAGAGGTCTGAGATTTATGAGTCCCTTGCATATCTAACCAATGTAGGGGCTGCAGTGCGCATGGTGGTTGGGAAGATTAAAAGGGATACCGTGCATGAGACTGAGTTATGACGTAATGCATGTGTGGTGTATTGCAGATCTAGGCAATACCAGTACCACCATCAATACAAAGAGGCGAGGTCTATGCAAAAGTTATTGTCTGTCATAGTGACCTTTTATTGATTATGATTGTTGCAATATGAGATTTCAACTGTAAAACTAACATATTTAGTCTTCTATAGCCATTAACTTCTGGTTCCTCCTAGCATTGCTCTGTCCATTAGACAAATCACAGAGATACAAAAACCGAGAGTTTTGATAGTGAAGTAACGTGATGGACTCTGAATGGATGTTTGCGTTCATCTCGCTAGTATTTGACACATTAGATTGTAAACCAATTTTCTTAACCAGTTTTTGTACGGTAGCATCCTCCGTCAGGTGCTTCAACTAGGCGTTGATTCCGGAGGATATGGGAATTGACTTGCGTATGCCATGAAACATTCTAATTCTGCATTGAGATTCAAGACTTGCTTGAAGTCGGAAACTAGGAACGCCTTTTGAAAGCTAGATTGACAACCAAAGTTTTCAAAATGGCCCGTTCATCACAACTCGGATCCACCGAGCTCTCGTTAACGGAGCGCCCAAGCATCACTCGGGTACGAATTCATTCCCAATAAATTTGTAGGGTGCTTCTCAAGAAGAATGGACATTTCGTCAGCTTTCTGATCTATCCTCCTCAGTGATTCTAGCAGTTGTATTATTTTTGGTGACAGAACGAAAAGTTCAGTCAAATCAGTGAAGTTATGAAGGGTCGGTGAACAGTCTTTAGCATGTTTGGCTGCAAGTGCACGAAAGTAGAAGACCTGCAAAATATGTCTTACAGAGCATTTATCGTCATTCAAACCAAAAATGGGGTCGAGAAGTCTTTAAGTTCCAACATATCATTAAATTGCGGTGGTTTGGATGCCAATCTGGGACCCTACTCTAACGAGGCTGTTGGACCATAGTCCCTTGCCAGATTTATGATCTTGATCATTGTTCTACCAGATTAGCCATAGCCCCTTGAAGATATTCATCAATTCCTTAGTACTCATGGGGGCTCCTCACAAGATGCGGCTATGCGGTAAGGCACGAGAGAATAGTTATTGTGAACAATCAGAAATTTTACACGGTGACTAGGATGATCGACTTAAATATTGAAGACAACTTGACCTTATATGGCTTTTTTTTTCTCATTGACAGATTTATGTTGCTCGAATGACTATCTTTCGTCCGTAAGTTGGGCGAGTCGTTCGGATCAACGGAGCTGAATATCACTGTCCAGTTAAACTTGAAAAGTCATTAGGCTGACTCGTTCTATGATTGATCCGATGAACTCATGAGATCATGATGGAAATACGTGTACCACTTTACTGTCAGAAAGTGGCTGGGGGGCTACAGTGTAGGTTCCGATAATCCCAGGTGCGTTCTGAGAAAAGTACTACTTCTGGAGTCATAGGGAGAGAGTTAATACGAGAACATTGATGATGGAACATGAATTTTTTCAACTTTATAAGGACATGTCCCTGGTTCAACAACAAGAGATTAGTGATCATGCTTACACTTATTCCAATTTCCAAGCAACACAAGACAACGTGTTGAATCAACATTAGTAACATCCTTATTCCGATTTCCGAGCAGCTTCTTTATTCATACTATTTATTAGCAACTGTCTGAAGTAAACAGTTGATCTCTCTCATGGAGACCCGGCGGTAGGAACAGGAGTAGCGCAGCAGGCACAACATGATCCCGGAGGTGGAGGTGCGCAGCACACACAAGCAGGGCATATTGGTGACGTCTCACTTGCTAAACCTGTTCAATGTTCATTCACAATTCAAATTTGACAGTTCAGGATCATATTATATACTCCGAAAATCACTTGTTTTTCGAACTTTAATATCAACCAAATGTCAGAGACTTGTTCTTACCTCGCTCGGTTATTCGAATGGCCTCGCAAGGCTGCAGTGGCGATAGAGCCACGGCGAAGAAGATGAGACTCAAGAAGAGGACAGAGACTGGTTTTGAACTCCCCATCTTTCTAGCTTATTTTGTGGTCTCTGCTGTAGTATAGTAGATGAGAGGAGTTTTACAGAATTTATAGAGTAACATGTGTTGACAATGGGACGTAACTTAAACAATTTTTTCTCTGTGCAGCCGAGTTTGAACTTTGAAATGTAGGGCTTGATTTTCCTGTGTATGCATTAGTCATGGTCATGGCCTTCATTTTGGGTTCACACTTTGAGATTTACCCCTTGTTCACTCGTTTTGAATTGAAGATATTGCAAGAAAATGGTGGTCGCTAGAAACAATTAAAGATAATGATTGATCTTTTCATAATCGAGACTTGGATGCATCGCGTGAATCATTATTTTCAAATGCTGAAAGGTAAATGAAGACTTTGGAGATCAATTAGATAACATTATCTCTTTTCATTGCATCATATCATTTGATGATTCACCCTCGATTTTTCACATGGGTTAAATAAAAACGGTATTACTTCCACGAAAATTACACGAAAGAATTAAGGTGCGGACAGAAGCTGATCTTATTATTCCATAGAAATGCTACATGCATTCATCATATGTACAGGATACTAATACATCAAGCCACCACCAACAGTAATCTGAACTCTAAATCTCTAATTAACAAGCCCACAGCTGATTCATATCCATTGCCCTAGTTCTGTATTTCTCATAGACTTCATCGTCTCTCCCCCAATTCACCATCTCAGTTTTGCTGGGAAATACTGCAAAAGTACAATTGACAGTTTAAATAAGGTGAGAACAGAGAGACATGGTAACTTTTTTTTTGGAAAAATGGAACATGGGTTTAAGTGATGCTCACTTTTTCAATAAGGGAGAGGTAGTAAGGCTTGACCTTCTCCACATCTATCCGTACGCTGCTCTTGCTATAAAGGTCATATTTGCTGTGCACAGAAAAGTCTAAATTAGACTTTTTTTCATTTAGACTTTTTCTTTGTTAGACTATATACAAAATAAAGGTGACTGGCAATTATCATATCATTTGATTGAAATATCTTTTGGTACCAAAGAGAGAGAACAAACTGGGCCTTACTTAAATATTTGAAGCCACTTGAGATTCTCAGCATCCTCCTCATTCATTAAATGCTTGTATGCTCCTGATTTATGCAAAGCTGCAATTGCAATTGCTTTTGTTATCTTCAGCCTCTTTAACTAGAAAAGATAAAAAGAAATCTTTTAATATGCGTGCATACTAATTATGGGTGGTTAATTAATCCGCTTACAATAAAAGGAATGATATCTGATGATGAAGAGTGCTGCTGAAGGCAGGGTTGTTTTGTTCTTCTTGGCAACCTTTATATAAAAAAAACCCAAAATCCAGAAACTCAAAATATTACTTGTAAAAGAAGCAAAGCAATCCAAATCTAGATTGATGCTTGACTTAAATATTTTGCCACAATCAAGGGCAAAAGGGATGTACCAGATACATATAATCATCATGGCCCCATGACATCAGAACATTGTTGAGTCCACATCCTTCTGAGTATACTCCATATTTAGTGTTGTATGCTGGATTGTGGTAGTCTGGATTCTCCTCGAAGTACTGTTGCCAGATCAAAAGAGGTATAAGGATTAATGATTTACGCAATTAATCCACTTTTGTTTTGTTCCTATCATGGAATCAATTTCGATGGGAGGAATTACCTTGTGATGAACGATCGATTCGTCGAAAGTGCAGCCCAGAGGATACGTGTCGCCTGCAACTCGATCGGGCGAATATGGGAAATTGTTTAGACAAGATGATAACTTATGATAATCTTGAATTTGGACTAAATTGATGAGAATCGAGAAAACCTATCGACTGACCCACAACAGCCCACTGAGGAAGCTCCCCAAAGCTTGGATGAAGCAGCACTTTCCCAAGATCTATGACCATCAAAAGTTAAGACTCAACATTCCGCTCGACTGCTCATTCTAAGCTGAAAGATCACACTAAAGGCTATACTAATATTACCGTACAAGGCATGACAAAGTGAAAGAATCTGATATCACAATGTTATCTGAAACAATGTCATGGACAAGTATCCTAAATCTCGAGAAATACTTTAGGAATTATTTGAGGAGTACCATGAATGAGGCCAGTCAAGTGAAGCCAATCCTCATTGGGGTAGTCTTTTCTGATGGCTTCAGCAGTTTGGAGCAAGTGCTCGATCTGGGGTTCATCAAGGTCTGGGTCACTCTCATCCACCACATCATTCAGCAGCTCACAGCAGTCCCATATGCTCATCTCCACCTTGTCCAATTTCCCATACTCCTCCCTCATTCTCTGCACCTGTCCATGTCCCACAATGAAGGAAAAAAATGATCAATTGATCCTGAAATTGTTTTTTTTAAATTTATTTTGAAAAAGAAAATATGTTATGGGCCAAGAAGATATTGTTGCAAGGTTGGCTTACAAAGTCATATGTCTGGCTGATGTGATTAATCCTGTAGAAATTCTCCACTCCTGATTGCCTCTCACTCTCTGCATCATAGGCCCTGTTCACATTTCCAGGTCCAATCAATGTAGAATTTGTTAAGACAAAAAGAAAGATCTCAAAACTCTAGTAACATTATAGTGTTAAGCAGAAGATAGACAGTAATAAAAGTTAGTATCACCAGAACCACCTTTGGTCATGTAAAAATGACTTAGCATTATAAGTTTGGACGTGTGAAAACTTCAGATGTCATTCACAACTCTTCATGCCGACCAAAAAAAGAAGAAACTCACAACTCTTCATGGGGGTTGAACATGCATTTTGGGCCCATTGGGCCACATAGTGGGGTCACCAAACTCCTTGTCGGCTCTAGTCCAAAAAGGAGTTGATGGGCCAGAAAAAGTTAATGGTTATCATGAAACAAATGAATGGATACGTGTACGCTATCGGACAGAGCGTACAAAACTTTCACGTCTCTCTGAACCTCAAGATTGTAACTTTTGTCTCTACATACCAAATAAAGGGGCGCAAAAGAAAGTCTTCAGATCTCTCTACTTTTCTCCGTGTTCTAGTAACTCACGTACCCATATGGGTTCATAACTTACATAATAAAGGGAAATTTTGAAATCATGAGAGCTGCACACACCATCATGGGATAGACAGTAGATACTCCTGCTGTTTTTTTTTTTTTTTGGAGACATATAATAGGAGTCATAATAATTGATAAAGCGAAAATCGAAAAACAAATTCGTACGTCGAGATCGGGAGTGAGAGAGAGCAACCTAAACGTGTGGCCAAATGAATTTGTGTCTGGCACCAGAAAACCACCGTCAAGTACCAACTCCTTTTCTTCCACAAGGACCTTCTCTTCCTCTTCCCCCACCACTGCCATATAAACAGAGAAGAGGTTTCCACAGAATCACAAGTCTGCATTCCTCTTACCATATAATGGGGAAAAGGGAAATTAAACACATCAAGCAAGGATTTCCATCTTTCAAGAATCAAAGGGAAGAAAAGCTCCACTTTTGAGAGTTCCTTCCAACTGCTGCTCATCACAAATTATTTACAACAGGGAACCGTATATTATGTTACGAGCTAAATTGTGCAACAGGAACACGTGAATTTGGTCAGGCAGAGAGATCTACCAAGCTCGGGCTGATCAATGAGGATGGTCATCTCGAATCAAAAGCGAGAAGAAGAGAATCAAAACATTCGGTTGGGGGGAGAACAGTGGGTGCTGGAGCAGATTCATTGCAATTCGGGACCATGGAAAAACCGGGGGGCTATTTATAGTTGGCCGGAGGAGGAGTCCTTCCCTGAGAATTCGGAGGTCCTGGAGTCCTTCCCTGAAAATCCCACCTTTCCATTCCTTGGCCCATTTTTTTCTATTACCGTGTATGCGTTATCACTCACCTATCCACTGTCGTGTTTCAGCCCCATCCGTCGAAAAGATTAGATTTTTTTTTTTAACTCCCCCGAGAAAGTTTAAAACCCGGGAAATAAATAATTATGATAAAAAAAATTCAGAAAGCTAGGGCCCCATGGAAAAGGCTCATGCTAGGTGTCAAGAACCAGATAATTGTAATAAAAAAAATTCAGAAAATCAGGCCCCAGGAAAAAGGGTCATGCTACCAGAGAGAGAGAGAGATAGAGATTTAGGCTAAAAATGTAAAAAAAAAAAAAGAAAATAAAGTTTGGAGGGTAATTTTCTTATTTTGGTGGGAGAAGGTGAGGTGATTAGATTAGCGGGGGATAGAGTCAAAAGTGAAAAAACAAAAATATCCGAAAAAATGTCACCAATGAGTCAGCTTCGCGCCGCGGTCGCTGGTGGGATTTGGTTTCCTGGGCCCCACCTGACGTGGCATCCAGCCGATTTGCAACGTTACGTGTGTTGTCTTGTTAGGCCACTTCCCCGATTTTTCTGGGTAGATAATTTCAAGGCAAATAAGTTCTAAACCTAGTATACTTTTGCTAATTCGGTCCCGAATCTTTTAATTCTGTCAATTGAGTCCTAAATCTTTTTTATGTTTTACCGATTGAGTTCGTCCGGTCAATTTTTGGCCGGAAGTCGCTGATGTGGACACCGGGCGCTACCGGTACCGACGTAGACAATTTTTAATAATATTTTCCTATTTTTTTATTTTCTTTTTCCTTTTTTCCTTTTCTTTCTCTTTCCTTTTTTTTTTTCTGCCCTTCTTCCTCGACCTTTGGCAAAGCTCGCCGCCACAGTCCCCCGACGAGATCGAGCCTCGTCTAGCCAATGTGAAGCCGACCTTGCCGTCACTGGGCGCCCACCGACGCGTGGATTTAGGACTCAATTCGCACGATTTAAAGGTTTAAGACTGAATTGGCAAAAGTGCAATATGTTTATGACTTTTTGAACAAATTTCCGAATAATTTTGTATAGTCATATATTTTTGAATAATCACATCATTGCAGAAATGTGAGTTCTTTTAATCAATGTAAAAATAAGGTCGAATCTTTTTTCTCTCTCTTTAAGAAGATTGTACATCCGTTTGTATTCGATTACCCTATAAATTTTGTCTCGTACATTACTAATAGAGATTGACACGGAGATAGCTATTTAAATAGTGCAATGCTAACACAACAAGATAAAAATATATAGGGAGTTTTCTTCACAAGCGCTTTCTGTATACTCGTTAATCACACCTAAAAAGAAATTATTTATATTTTCAATGTACCGACCATATATGATATAAAAATTTATTGTTTTCGAAATGATAAGTTATTTTTAATGGCGTGGTTAAATAAATATCTCAAGGGCATATATTAACAAAATCAAATTATAAGTACCATTATGATACGTTGACACATAAATTGTACTTCATACACCCTGCTGACCCCGATGCATTGACCTTTGATGGTGACTTTATAGATATTTGATATTCTCGTGAATCGACGGTCCATATTGGTCTATGAGCTGTCCACCACCCGCACCAACAGGCAACAGGCACGCACGAGGCGCGACAGACGGCGACACGTGTCCCCCGTGGAGCCCACGTAGGTGTCAGCGTCACGCAGGATTAGCGACCAGGTGTTACCCACGAGAGAGAAAAAGCACTCCGACAAAATATGAATTCTATCGAAACAATATTCTCGAGAAAATTTAATTTAAAGGAAAAATCATTTCGTTTTTCTATATTTAGCTGTACTTATGGAAGTCATTTTCCGATGTTTGTTAAAGAAAAGTCACGAGCACACGTCCGAGAATATGTCTCGAGTTTAAACCCTAGACAATGGGTCTGGATGTCGAGGTCCTCGCCACAAGCTATGAGGAAATCAGGCACGGCTAATAACTGTCGATTAAGAAAATATTTTTCATCAACTCATTTTTTATAAACAATATAAATGTTGAGAAATATAAAATACCGAGGAAGTTAGAAAATTACTTTCCAACGATATTCGAAACGAAAATTTCGCGGAGGATTCGTTGTTTGGAGATTTTGATGTAGATACACGACACGGTCGATGCGTTGACTAGTCTTCAAATCGGACGAGAATTGATTAATTTGATCGGAGCATTAGAGGAAATATCGGACGGATTACAGTGGAGTTTTGAGCTTAATCCATCTGTCAAAACCGGATGAGAATTCCAATTGACACTCGCCAAAAATTATCGAGCTTTTTTACACATTTTGATTTGGAAATCTTCACTTTCTCAAACATTGATTACATACTATACTCTCTCTCTCTCTCTCTCTCTCTCTCTCTCCAATCTTTCAAATTGAATTTCAAATCATCTTGTTCTTTTCTTTTTTGGGACAATCTGTCGCATCATGATAATTAAAAGTTCATTTGAAAGAATCCTAGAAAGATCTCCCTTAATTATAATTTGTTAATTTGCGATGAATATAATTTCGAAATGGAGAAGGAGAATATCAGTTCTTCATTCATTATCAGTTTGGTGCATGAAGCGGGGTCGTTTTTGACTAGATGCCAAAGTCGCCGCGAGCTGCGTCACGGAGCTGAGAACTTGCGGTGCACGATGCGAGCAAGTCGGTGTCGGTCCGTTTTTACGATAACAACTGTTCGGAACAGCTTTTTGGCCCAATCATGCGAGAACAGCTGACAAGCAAATGGCCGCACGAACGGCGCACACATCCGTTCCAAACATGAGCGAGCGAGCGATTGTTTCCTTCCTTGTTTGTTTGGTCGGCCGGGAAGCAACTGCTTGGCAACTTTCTCGGCCGGCGAGAAGGGCCCTCTCTGCAACTGCGGTCCTCGACAAAATTTAGTCGGAATGACTGGATCGGTTCCAGGTCAAAAGATTTAAAACTAATTTGGCACAATTAAAATGTTTAGAACTAGATTGACACCAATGTAATAAGTTTAACACTTTTCCCACCATTCGACCACACGGGCTTTCAGGCCCAAAGCCGCTGATCTTGATTTACTAGGTCCACCCGCCATTCAAGAAATGTTTTAAAGACCGATGAATACCGAATCAAATATCACAGTGCAGAAAAAAGAAATTGGGGATGAATAACTTTTGAGGGGTGAGTGCACCTTCTGATACGCGATCAAAAAGGACCGTTCGACATTTCGTTAAGTCCGTCGACCCCATCATCAGTGTCTCGCGAGGGGTCGAGTGCTGATCAAGTACGAGCCCAACTTAACCGGATTCATTCTGAACTGTCCAGTCCGTCGTATGCACGAAAACCAACCCCCCAAGTATTTGGAAATTTCGAAGGCAGACCGGGCATGAGTGCGGCTCAACCCTTGAGTCGAGCGGGCCTCGCCCGAGATCAGCATGATCCCGGAATGCATCCGGCGCACCTAATACTTAGAAAACTGCAATTTGTTGCAAACCCAGAGTCTGTACTAGCATGGGCTGGATTGGGCCCAATTCAACTGCAGATAATAAACACCAAGCTGACACAAGCACAATCCCAACCCAACAAAAACAGAGAGAAAAAAATAACCGACAACCGATAAAACAGGGGAAAAAATAGCCACCATCCATCCGTCTTCTCCTGGAACTTGCCGATCAAAAGAAAAGTTCCTTTAATTGCAACTCCCCAGTTTATTTTTTGTCAGAATTTGCAACTCCCTAGTTGAACGGTCAAAATAGTTCTCTTGAATAGAAAAAATTAAAAAATCGCTGGTTTTAGGGTGGACAGGGTCGGTTCCGAGTTGATTCCCGTTTCACAGGTTTCGGGTTGGAAACTGAGGTAGCGAATGATAACCATTATGTTCCAGAATGAGTTCCTGAAACAGAAATAGATTTTTCTATTTCTGGTTCCAGGATGAGTTTCTGAGAAAAGAAACCCGTTTGATAACGACAAAAAATTTCTATTTCTGGAACAGAAACCTGTTTGATAACAGCACAAAATTTCTATTTTCTGAAACAAAAACCCGTTTGATAAACAACACAAAATTCTATTTCCAGGAACAAAAATCCATTTTTTTAGAAATGGAATAAAAATAATTAGAAAATCCAAAAAATTCCTAAAAATCTAAAAAAAAATTCAAAAAATCCAAAAAAAATTGAAAAATTCTAGAAAAATTCATCACAATTTCCAAAAAATAAAAAAAATTCAGATTTCGGGAAAATAGGAAATCTGTTGAATTTTTTCAAAAAAAATCAAAAAATCAAAATTTTCAAAACTTCATAGAATCGCTTAAAATACCTGTGGCCACCCACTTTTAGTGAAATTTAAATCTTTTTAGGTGCAAAAAAAAAATAAAAAAATCAAAAATTTCAAAACTTCACAGAATAGTTTAGAATATATGTGGCTACCCACTTTGAGCGAATTTTAAATTTTTTTAGGTGCCGAAAAAAATAAAAAAAAAATAAAAAAAATTTCAAAATTTCACAGAATGGCTTAAAATACCTATGGCCACCCACTTTGAGCAAAATTTAAACCATTCTGTGAAGTTTTGAAATTTTTGATTTTTTACTTTTTTTTCCCACCTCAAAGATCGTAACTTCTAGATGAACATGTGTTTTGAAGAAAGAGTTCTCTCAGAAATGATTCTCATTTTTGGCATAGAAATACAAAAACCTACTTTTTTTTGTTCTGATTTCTGGTTCAGAATTGGTTCTGGAACAAAAAGTTGTTCCAAAAATAGAAAAATGGAATTGCGTTACCAAACGGGTTTCTGGTCCAAAGCTATTTCTGGGAATAGAAAACCAGTTCTGGACAGAACCAGAATGGTTATCATGCGCTACCTGATCATCCCTAAAATCCTCGATACGTGATTACAACTCGCAGGCGAAACAACCTCAGGCTTCCCACTATCTAAGGGCAAAGAAAAATGAATAAGATCAGCTAGCTCAATTTCCTATTTGGAAAATGCTGTCAGCCAGAAAAAAAAACAGTAGCAATAATGACAAT